AATGGAGTCATTATGAAATTGGTTGTCTAGAAGAATGTTATTATCAAAGTTTATGTCTATAATTCCAGTTTCTAAATAAAACAATATCACGTCTTTTATAAATATTTTACCAGATCAGCGAGAACAATATGTAATGTGTGAATACGAAAATAAAAGATTACCACAAAATGAAATAAAAAGAAAAGGATCGTACGTGTTTCGTCGACCAACATCGTGATCTTCAACTTATAACTAGAAAATGATTAAGGTTTATTAAAGATTAATTAGTTCAGATGGGTTCAGACAAATGACAGAATAATGTTTGACTTTGAAAAATAAAGCATAACAAAACAAATGTATTGTGGAATTATATTTTTGATGGACTATTATCGTGATGTTCAACTTATTATTTGAGCTTCTTTAAAATAGACTTATTATTGGTTATACAAATTAAATAAATCAAGACCAGAAAGGGTTCATATTTGACAATGTCATTGACCTTATAGTGTTATCGTTCCAGTATATATCTACATCTATATATTTCTTTCGAAAATTTTTTTTATGCCGATTGATCAATATAATTTATAGCATATGACAATCATTAGGTCTATCTAAAATGAATCATTTCTAATGATATGAATGAATGAAGTCTGCGTCACTACACACTCGGCAAACCTCAGCAGATTCCAGTGAGTAACGGAATCCGCCGAGGTTTGCCGACTGCGTCACCACAGGCCCGGGACTGTACAGCGCAATGGGCGCTGACGTCTGGCCCCCGGATCCATTCACTTGATTTGGTATTTGTTTATTTGGTGCCATGTCTATTTTCTGTCTTGTCCGCAGGTTTATCTTGTAGATTTTTGTTTTACGTGTTGTGCGATCTTCCTGCACTTACTAATAGGATTTAGCATCTTACTTTTCTGCTCCAACAGTCTAATGAAGACGGACATAGGCCGTGCAGTATTCAATCAGGGAAATTTTTCCCGGTCAGCAAATGGGTTATTTTACATGGTGGCACTGGATCAATAACTGGGATGTCCAATATGTGCTGATAAAATTCCCCAGAGTTTTCCCTTGTCAGTGGGGCAGGACAGATGACCTGTCATGGAAAAAGAAAGAGAGAAGTGGAGTTTAATGTGCATTCGCACAAACTAGGTCATTTTGGGACTAACATATGGTTACATTTTATTTTATTAATTCACATGCACATAAGGCTCTTTAGCAGGGGGAGGAACCGGAAGACCCGGAGTAAAATCACGAGGTTGAACTGGCACCTGACAAGGAAAACCATCTTGTCGTTCAAATGGGACAAAAAAAAAACCCAACAACCGAATCTGGCATTTGCCTGTCTTCATTTGACAAGTTGGGAGCAGAAAATAAAGACGTTATACCATATTTCAAGGGAGGTGTTAATGTGTTCCAGAAAGAGTAAGAATACCCTTACGATCTACACAATAGTTCTAGACATAGTACAACTAATGGGAAGTGTTATGATCTGTTCCAGAAACTGCTACAATTCAATCTATATTTTAATGTAAATAAAACTACTCTTCATTTTAATTTATAAGTTTATTTTATATTAATAGATATAACAGAAATAGATCATAAAATAAATTTACTTTGGATAGATTAATAAGACTCTATTTCTCTGAGACAACAGCCCTTAAATTTACCATATATAGAGTTAATAAGGTAAAAATATCAGTTTGGCATCAGTTAAAATTCTAAAAGCAAATTACTTGATAATATTTTTGCCTTTCATGTGTGGATACTTGAATGTGTAAAAGATGTTCCTGCACAGAATGAGGCATGACCACCTTCTCCAAATACAGATTATACTACAGATGCCTTTGCACCATGCTCTTTTAGAAAGTAAAATATTTATAGCAAACTTTAAAAAACCCACCATATTTTCTATAAGTGAACTACCAGCCCCCTTTCTCCTTTTATTCCAGTATCAACCCCTCCCCTGTATATAAAATTATACTTCTACCCACAGCTTTCATTGGATGTATTTTTATCACATAAAATTTCTAAATATTTAACCTTAAAATGCAAAGCAGTTTATTTTATTTTCAAAAAAGTGAGATAATGCTCCAATTTGTCATTCTTTGGAAAAAAAAAGTGCTGCCAATTGCAAAGAAAACAAAATAAGTGAAAACTTGATCAACTAGCAAGAGTGAGTGACTTGCTTGCACTGTAACGGCAGCCATCATTTCTACATAAATACAAATAATATAGACTAAATAATTATTGTGATAAATACATGTAGGTGTGGCTGTGTAATTGAAGAACTCCTTTCCAAAATACTATCATCATCATCATGTTTGAAAAACCCCACAAAAAACATCCTGGCATTTTACTTAACAGTAAAACTATATAACAACGATACTTTGTTTCTGATTGCATAAATAATAGCTATTACAAAAAAAAATACACTTTAACTAAGCAGAGTTTGATGTTTGGAGTTAAATGTTCGAGAAATTTTAAAAGATTTTAAAAGGTTTGAATGGTGTCAATAACTTCCAGAACAAAGCTCATTTGTCACGTGATTAACATTGAAATATAATACTCAATTCTTTATTTCTTTATATCTACTGTCTCATACAAACACTACTATAATATTTATTATATGTTATTTAAATATAATATCTGTTATAAAATAAGTAATATTTAATAATCACAGATTATATTTACTAACAAGACACATATACTCTCCTATTTAAATATAATATCTGTTGTTAAATAAGTAATATTTAACAATCACAGATTATATTTACCAACAATACACTTAAATATAATATCTGTTGTTAAATAAGTAATATTTAACAAGACACATATACTCTCCTATTATGTTCTTTCAAACTAAGTTAATGCTTCCCTTTAACATCACAGAATACAAGGACACAACATCTTTGATTTGGATCAAAATTAAAGCATTGATTAAATTAAATTTCATGTCAGGATGATCTATAGTCAAGATTTTAGCTTAGGTCAACATATTATAGAACAGGCTGAGCAATTCAAATTTAAGCCAAAAACAAAACTAAAATCGGTAAACGAACTGACTTCCGCTTGATATTTTGAAATTGAAATTAGTAAACTGACATATAGAACCTATTTAAGCTTGTGTTTAATCAAAGTAAATCCTGATTCGTTGTTAATTTAGGTTGCACTAATTTAACTTACTACTTGTACTTACTAGTCAAATATGAAATCCAGCTTCAAGATGAAATGTACGAACATTATAAACAGCAAATATCATGAATATAAATAAGATCAAAGTTAGCTCTTCATTATCATGAATATAAGATTTAGCCCTTCAGTATCAAGAATACAAGATTTAGCCCTTCAGTATCAACAATATAAGATTTAGCCCTTCAATATATATAACAATATCAAAGGTGATTTTCTCTGGTTATGTTTCACACTTACGCAATGATATCACAATTCTCCATGTAAAAACTAGTATTTTATACATCTTTATATGTTGTATTAGTAATTAAAGCACTTTAGTTATAAAACTGGACTATATATTATATTTACAATTAAATATACAACATTTAAATAAATTAAAATATTTATATGATAAATTTTATACAATAAAAGTGAGTGACATTTGCTTTATTTTGATGATTATAAAAAGTTTCAGTTCACCAAGTCGCTATGTGTGATATATATATAAAACCAAGCCTGCATTGTTTCAGAAACATTTGTCTAATTTTCTTATTCAAGTTTTATTGATTAATATCCAGTGTAACATGGTGAAAATAAAAGTGCTATATTTTGATTGATATAAAAGTGATATTAAGAAGAATTCCATGATTTGTATTATTACTGCTGTTCAAAATCACTAGGTGACATACATGTCTCTAACTCTCTTTGTCTCTGTTTTAAACTCTACAATGAGAAGATAAAATCAATATAATATGCATAATAAAAATTCATTATTCTCAAGGTAAAAGAAGCCAGATATATCTCAAAAACAAACAAATTTCAGGGAGGTGTTCAGGAATTTGAGAAGCAGGGGTTTGAGGCAGGATCGAGTTTGAAGAGACGTCCTTGAGGATTACCTGAGAATTATATAAAATCAGAAAGCTCTGAGACAATATTTCTGCTCATTTAGGTGTATAAATACACAGGATTAGAGTGTATTAAGGCCAAAACGACAGCAATGTTTCGCACATACTTTGTCCGGCACTATTGCAATGAATGTTAAAGAAAAAAAAAATATGCTCTGCACGAGGATGGGAGGGTCAGGGTCCGGACCCCGCCCCCCTCCCTGGACACATACCTGTATTTTAAAATATTATATTATGTAATTAAACAACTGGGTATAAAAACCCTTAATGACAAATGGGAATTAATTAAATCATTAGTGGATTATAGAATTATATATATATTACTAGTACCTGTTTTAATGTAGACAGTTGTTGTAATATTTGATCTTGTCGACCTGTAGGATGATCTTTTACTAAACCCGGGTTAAATATAGGATTCTATAAAAAAAAATATATAACATAATTAAATATAGGATTCTATCAAAATATAAATATGTTAACACAATCCAATACCTGGTAGATTTCTATCAAACATAAATATGTATCACATATAAATAATATGTAACACAATCAAAAATAGGATTCTATCAAAATATAAATAAGTAAAACAATTAAATATGGGATTCTATCAAAATATAATAACTAATACAATTAAATATGGGATTCTATCAAAATATAATAACCAACAGAATTTCTATCAAAATATAATAACTAACACGATTAAATATGGGATTCTATCAAAATATAATAACTAACATGGTTAAATATGGGATTCTATCAAAATAAAATAACTAACACGGTTAAATATGGGATTCTATCAAAATATAATAACTAACACAGTTAAATATAGGATTCTATCAAAATATAATAACTAACACGATTAAATATGGGATTCTATCAAAATATAATAACTAACACGGTTAAATATGAGATTCTATCAAAGTATAATAACTAACACGATTAAATATGGGATTCTATCAAAATATAATAACTAACACAGTTAAATATAGGATTCTATCAAAATATAATAACTAACACGATTAAATATGAGATTCTATCAAAGTATAATAACTAACACGGTTAAATATGAGATTCTATTACAGATTAAATATGAGATTCTATAATTAAAAGATATAAATCAGGATTTAAAGGTAAAATTTTTCATAACTCTGTCTAATTTGAAGCTTCCCTAAAAGTTGCTGTAAACTATTAAGTAGCTTGATTCTGGATCTGAAGACATCATTCACCTTAATGTTAATCTAGAAAAAAGTTTCAACATTTTCTTCGTTTATAATAAATAAATATTTTTACCTTTTGATTAGGATCTCTTCGTTTATCTTCATAAATATCTATTCTATTACCATAATCAGCTGGTTGTTGATTTTCATTATACGCCTTCCTTCCCTTTCTTACTCGTGTGTTCTCTCGTGACACGCGTAGAGGATCATCGGCATGGGACGGATCTAAAATCTCTGACGTTCTTGTGAACGGAATGAAATCAGTATCATAGACAGGAGGACGTACAGGATCTAAGTCTGTATAATGTGATCTACCATTACAATTATCATAGTCATCATTATCCAGTTCATTTTGATGAGGTCTTCTGTGTTTAACTGCTGGCACAGGAGGTGATTCATATCTGGCATGATGATCAGGTCTATGTTTGTAATTATCCAAACGAGATCTGCGTTCATGATCATCTACAAAAGGTTTGAGTTCCTCAGAATGACGGGATCTGTTTGATGGAAGAGGAGATGTTGATTTTCCTCTACGAGGTGTTACATCAGACGGTTTTATGAGTCTGGTTTCTGAGCGGAAATTTGGAGACAAGCTTCTGTCATGTCGGGAATTAACAGAGGCTCTGTATGGCGACAAAGATTTATTTCTATGAGGGGATGGACTGCGCGACCCTGTAGGTATAATTTGTTTATTAGCTTCCACCATTTTGTAAAGTTGTGCTGCTCGTTTTGCATGTCTTGCTTGACTTTCCCATTTTTTCTCTTTGTAAAATGGATCCTTCTCCGAATTTTTCACATTCTTTTTCACTCTTTGATTGTTATAATTCCAGCCGAATTTTTCTTTAGGTTTCGGTTTCTCTGTCTTAAATTTCCTGACCTGTGCAGCACTCTTAAGTCTGACTTTCTTTAATTTTGTTGTGCCCACCATTTTCTTCTCATTTGCGTCTGCCTCAGTTGGGACATTTCCTCGACGTCTATGAGATCTATCTGCCTTATATTCTATTCTGACATCACTTACTTCCCTCTTAACACCATTCTCATCTGTAACTAGAAATATCAACAGAAAAAACATGTTATAATAATAAACTAAAACAGACAAAGCAATGCAATTCCCTGTGAAATGGGTTTCAAAAGAAAAATATATGAAACACAGAGTCTTTAAATATTTAATGAAAGAGAATAGAGAAAGATTCACAATGGAGTTCAACTTGACTTTACATTAAATTCCAAACGAAATGGTGTTTAAAAGAAAAACATATGAAACAGACAGGTCTTTAAATATTTAATGAAAGAGAATAGACAGAGATTAACAATGGACTTCAACTTGTCTTCCAAGTGAAATGACATTTCAAGAGACAGAGAGAGAAATGGGGTTCAACATCCACTCGACACAAACTAGGTCATTTTGGGACTAACATGTGGTTTAATTTTATTTCAATAATTTGCTTGCATGTAGGGGTCTTTAGCAGTGGGAGGAAACCGGAGGACCCGGAGAAAACCCACGAGGTTGGACAGGCGCCCCTACTCCTTGTCACGTACAACCGGGGATTCGAAACCACGCCAGTTGACTCAATGACAGGCTTTATGATACAGCACGCACGTGCTAACCATTCGGCCATCCAACCCCCATGACATTTAAAGGAAAATATATGAAATACAGTCTTTACGATTAAAGTAGCTAATATCATCCACAGTCTTTGACATTGCAAACACGACTTATTGGTCAATTTAAATCAACATTGACGTTGCTGTCTTACCATGAAAAGATACGCTTCTGATATCCAATATTTAAGTCACAGTGAACATTTTAAAATTGGCACAGGAATCGTGTGCCAGAATGCTTTTGAGTGCCATTTGTAATGATGCAACTCAGTGAACAAGGATAAACATATCCCAGGGGAGAATACTACAGGTGTAGACAAGAATAACCAGACACCAAAGAATGCTACTCAATTGGGACTCTTCACGCTTCACTGAACATAAGTGATTAAAAATTACAGTAAAACAGCATTGATTGAATGTAAAATTGTGTCCATTTTCTAGGTGCCCAAGATTACAGAATAAGCTCTTTTAAGGACAGTTAAAAAAGAGATTCACTGTGGACTTTAACTTGACTTTTACAATCAATTGATACAAATTCTTGGTTACTGAAACAAAGGTCATAACAAATGTATAATATTTCAACTTTTTCATTACTGGAACACGGTTACCTATTGCATTTAAGAAGCATTTAACAATTGAGAAACACATTAACAGAAAACAATTTTATGGAATAAGGAAACGTCATTACAGGACCCTGTCAACAGGTCATCACAGATTACTTAAACTTTCTGTGTAACTGGGTCCAATTTTAATAATCTTAGACATCTCTAATAATAGAAATCGTTACAGGAAGCTGTTCACCACCGGAACCAGTAATAAAAAGAGTTAAATTTAAATACAAGATACCTTTGAACAATTATGACACATTGTATATTACCGGTACATAACCAAAAAACATAAACTTGGACAAACAACATAGAAAGTGGCGGTAGTGACATGAAGTGTGATATATTAATATAAATACTCATATTCATCATTAACAACATTTAGTAACCGACTATGAATGTGTGTGTACTACCATATATTTTGCTGCAAGCACACAAAGGTAACTAATGTGCACACAATAGATTCTCAGACACTGTCACTTAAAAAAGGATGTATGTTTGTTTATTTGACAATGCAGTTTTATTAGGCATGATAGATAGCCTGCACAAATATATCTTGTGCACATAATATTGTCACATACTAAAAATTAGCGGGAACACTGTCCATAGCTAGACAGCATCTTTGAATAAAAAATTTGTCTCTGGCGGCCACCAAATTTAAGTACCGTGTGGCGTGTGGACAGGTCTGATCTGATGTATGATGATTATAACAAATATTAGTATAGGGTTATATGCAATTACAAACAACATTCAATTAATATAAATAATACTTATCAGATATTACCCAACTATAAAATATATTATTACCAACAAAACAATACCAACAGGAATTTTCAATAACAGAAAGATATATATATATATTAGTAACTAAAAAATCAAAATCCATTTGGGGACTCCATTTTCAAATGGTTCACTCAATTGTAAAATTCAAATCAATGAAATTTTTTTTTTTAAATTGGGCACTTTTACTATATATCTCTCTGTCATTATATAATATATTCAGTGAAATCAACTGATCTCTGTTATTGGTTATTATGAACCGATTAACTTTCCAGGAAAATGATGTTACATTGATACATTCATTTTATTGTCTTAATTAAATGTTATATAATTAATTTGAGTAGAATTTAGCAAGGATTATGCTATAAAAGGTTACATATTATCTGAATTATGCCAATGAAAATCTGCAGCTTTATAATTATGACGTTGAAGGATACCAACTTTTATTTGACTACTGTTTGATGGATTATGAGAAGAGATTTTCTCCTACCCATTGTTTAAAATTCCAACTCTCAAGCAATATTTTATTTTTCTAACAAGAAAACAATTTACGAACGAAACTCGTTTTTTCTAACAACTAACGATTTTTCCATGGAACTCGGTTTCTACCGACCAGAAAATTTACGTAACATGGAACTCAGGTTTTTCTAACAACTAGACATTTTACGCATGGAACTAAACAATTTCCTTGTTAGCCTTGTCTTCTGAATACAATGATTAAAACCCAGAAAAAGAGAGAGAGAGAAATGGGGTTTAACGTCCACTTGACACAAACTAGGTTATTTCGGGACTAACAACATGGTTTAATTTTTTTATTTCAAAAATTTGCTTGCGCGTAGGGGTCTTTAGCAGTGGGAGGAAACCGGAGGACCCGGAGAAACCCTTGAGGATGGACAGTCCACCCTACTCTGTGTCACGTACAACCTGGGATTCGAAACCACGGCAGTTGACTCAATGACAGGTCTTACGATACAGCGCGCACATGCTAACCATTCGGCCATCCAACCTCCCTAAAACCCAGAAAGTTCTGTTCCAGTGCCCAAGCATCCATAGTTCCCATTGAAATAAGAATATCATGGTTTGATTTCACTGAATATAAAATATTGTAATGGTGAAAAGAGATAGTGGTGCAATATTTACATGTATACGTTTGTGTACCAAAATGTCTTCGTGTTGAGTAAGGATCAGTATGCGGGTCACTTAAGTTACGATACGAAACAATCTTATCTTCGACGTAATCATCATGATGAACCAGTTCTTTACTTTGATTGACGTCTGCCATTTGTTCTGCATCACTGTTATGTGAGCGTATTGAAGTGTCAACCGCTATATCTCTTTCCGTGAGGTTTAACTGTGGAACGTATGCCGATTGCTGTTGGGTTGTCATTGGTTGCACTCGTGGGGTCATGGCTGCAAAGGTAAAATAGGATAAATGTCAAATGCATAAAAAATAAAAGAAGACTGGATCATAAAAGATACATTAGTTTTTATAATTCTATAAAATTTGATCTCTTGAGCTATAGTTTGACTACATATATGATATACATGCTCATCCAACAATATATAAAAATATGACAAAAGTAATATGGACATTCACGTTCAATAAAAATAATAAATACTGCAATTAAAACAATACAGGATCCAACAAAGTTATCATATTTTGGAAAGAAAATGGCAGCCACTGGAAGGCCTTTAAAATTAATGATGTCACATCTAAGTGCTGTAGTTTAATGTTAGAATTTTTTGCTAGCAACTCAGTACAGGACAGAAAACTACCTGACAAAAAATTTTTTTTATAATAAGTGCTGTGAAATTATTTGTAAATATCAAAGTCTTTCTTTATCAAAAGCATAGTACTCTTAAATAACAAAGTATTTCTTTACGAAAAGTATGGTATTTTTTAACAGGTATTATGCAAGCGCTAAATCTGCCTATTGCATGTCTTTCTTTAGGCCTGAAATGTTATATAAATTATTAATTAGATATTAATTAACATGACAAGACCATAATCAACTCTCAATGCCATTAGATGGCTCCAAATTTAAGTACATTAGAACAGATCGGCCATTTAATGATTTAATCTAAATATGGATAATCGAGACTTTGTTTATTATCTGAACATTGTTAGCAATAACAATCGAGGCTACACTGTTCTTCTAATGGCGATAATTCGGTTCTGAGTGAAGTAATTTGACTGAAATTTTCAACATATTCTCTTTTCATTATCTATTTTTTAAATTATTATAGCGGGAACTGCTTATCAGGCCCTCCGTCCTGCACCATGATAAGGTGAAACCACATCAGAAAATCCTGATAAACTTTCTCGGCCAATGCAGGGATCGAACACGCGACATCCAGGCTAGCAAGCGAGCGTCTTTCCCACTTGGCCCCCTGTTATTCGTACAATCGTATTGAATAAGCACACAGTTGAGAGGCCAGCATCCTACCTATGGAGGGAGATAGAGAAATGTGGTTTAACGTTCACTTGACACAAACTAGGTCATTTTGGGAGTAACATATGGTTCAATTTTATTTCAATAATTCAAAAAAAGAAAAGCATAGCCAATTTTCATCATTTTTCTTATCTGAACGAGATCATTGTTTCCATAAATCTTATTTGTTTTTAATGTCACTATGTAAGGATAAAAGAAATTCATTATTGGTTTTAAATGTAGGGTCACTAATTGTGACTGGTCATTCTTTTTATCGAAATTAGTTTTCGCTTGATTAAACCAAGACACACGAGTTTAACAACTTTGCAAGCTTTTCCCATTAAACCCAAATCTAAGGCCTTTAAAATCCTGGGGGTCTTGGTTTAAAAATCAGTTGCACATGTAAATACTCTACAAGCCAAGTGATGCCACATCTGAACGAAGACCAACGCAACACCACTATCGGTCGGTTACAAGCAGGCGAAACCTAGACAGATGTAGCCAGACTGCTGAATGTTTCCCAGAGTACCACATTTGGAATAGCTACCGACAGCAAAGTTTAACACATGACTGCATAAGCTCAAGGCAAAACACGATTGACCGGCCATGGATCGTCACATCCGGTTACGTCATTACCGGAAACATTTCACACCAGCGACCTCTACTGCAGCAGCAATTCCTGTCAGACGTAGGATCTCAGACCAGACGGTCCATAAATGCCTATATGAAACCGGATTACGAGCCTGGGCTCTATTTCTTGAAATTTTAACTAAAGATAAAATCCAAATTTTAGTGGATACTTCAATTTTGATTGGCTAAGTACTAAAATCAATCTAATATTATCCAATCAAATGAATAAAATTTGGATTCTATCTTAGTTAAAATTTCGTGAAACAACCCCCAGACGTTCCATTATAGCTTCTGTTTTGAAATACGCTGACACTGTCAAATCCGGCTTCAATAGGTTCAGACACACAGGGTATGGCCACAGCAACGCTGGAGAACAGTTTAGGTTCCTGTTGCAACGAGGTGATGGTAGAGGTTGGGTATACGGACGACGAAATGTCACTATGCGTTTCATTTTTTGAAGATTATATATAATCATAAATATTATTTATATAAGTAAATGTAATTAGTAAATGACATGAGTTATATATTAAATGACTATTAACAATAATATTAAAACAAGATGATTATATTACAAGCTGATTTCAGTTTATTTAGCAAGCATGAGGATGGGATAACAATATACATTATCATGGGATCAAATTTTAATGCAGATCTTTTAATAGCATAGGAGATATGTTAGTTGCTATTTACCAGAATATAGCTAGAGCCACTGATTACTAAGACTATATCCAAACTAAAAATATATCTTCAACCTTCATAAATAATAAATATCACACTAGTAATTGTGTTTATAATGGTGCCATGATAACCTTACATGTAACAATAAAAGATTTAATGAAATGGGGTTTAACATGACCTACTCTTATATGGAATTCTAACTGCCAAGAGATCTTTTATGTGCACGCCAATGTATACACGGGTCCTCATTTTTTTGTCCCATCCAAACTATTAGACAGCTGTCACTGTCTGGCCCTTCGTCCTGCAGCACTGACAAGAGGAAACCACGTTGGAAAATCACTTGCAATGAACTTTCTCAATCTATGCAGGGATCGAACACGCGATCTCAGGGCTATCGAGCCAGCATCTTACCCACTTAACCACCGTGGCTCCCTTTTGGAAATGCTGCAAGCATTTGTTTATAAGCGCTGGTTAAATATGATTACCAATCAAAGGCTTTGTTTGTTATGTGCTCCAGTTCAATCATTATGCTTGCGCTTACTTTTATGGAAAAAGCACTTTAGGATAAGTTGCAAGCATTTGTTTTTTAAGCGCTGGTTAAATATGACGATTACAAATTAAGTGCTTCATTTCTGATGTTCTTCATGCTTATACTTGGAGTAAACAATACTTGAAGATCAACCAAGTGCTTTATTTGCAATGTGCTTAAATCCAAGCATAATGTTTATCATGCTTGAATAAACAATACTAAAGGTGTATGAATATATGCTTGGGTGCTTTAATAAACATTTTAGTAATTAACAATAGTGCTATCTGCAGTGATTAAAAATCTCAAGCAACTTCATAACTCTACCATTCTGATTGTCTGTATGTTGCCTAGCAACTGGTGTAGCTGTGGATCGTCCAATGGGAATAGATGGTGATGGTGACAGGACTAGAAGCAAAGACATTGTGTGGGGAAAATACAAGTATTTAAATATATAATATATTAATATTAGGCTTCTGCTATATGAAATAAAAATGAAGGTGTGGATTTATGAATATTATACTAGCAATTTATCTACAAACTAACAATATTCAGTCTAATCAAATACAGATATTTATTTTCCTTTGAATTATTTTAATTCTGGATTTTGCCTTCCCACAATATCAAAGATGCATTATGTAAGTGCTAAAGAGAGAGAGAGAGAGAGAGAGAGAGAGAGAGAGAGAGGTTTAATGTCCACTCGACACAAACTAGGTCATTTCGGGACTAACATATGGTTTTAATTTTATTTCAATAATTAGCTTGCGCGTAGGGGTCTTTAGCAGTGGCAGGAAACCGGAGGACCCGGAGATAACCCACGAGGTTGGACAGGCGACCCTACTCCTTGTCACGTACAACCGGGGATTCGAATGTAAGTGCTAAACCTGCCAATTGTGGGTCTTTTTTCTGGCTTCAAAATTCATATAAATTATTATCTAGACATGACAAATGCATCAAGCCCATAATCAACTCTTGGATGGCCAAGAAATTAAATGGATTAGGACATCTGAATCATTCCATAATTCAACTTTAAATTGGATAATTGAGGCTTTATTTATTTAGGCTAAATCTTGTCAAAAACTTTATAAACATTCATAACTTTACTCAGAATTAATTAATTCGACTGGAATTTTCAATATATTCATTTTTTATTGTCTCTTATAGTGAAAAACAAGCAGGTCTCTTTTTTTTTTTTATCTAAATCTTACATAATGCATCTTTATATAATGGTTATATAAAAAACATAGAACTGAAAAAAGAAAAGAAATAACATCTGATTTGAATTAGATTGAAGAAAACTATAAACATATTTCTGTATAAAACAAATATATTAGGATGAAGTAATGTTTTAATATAGCATCTATGATTAGACTATTATTAGTTTACTAATCTCTACGGAGTCTACGCATAATGAAAGATCTACAGGTCTGAAAATAATGGTTTTAATTGTATCTTATAAAATGTCAGGCACTACTGAAACAATACCTGACATTTTTTTAACTTTGTATCAGACATGTATGAATAATACTGGTACAAAATAAACACACACAGAGAAATGACAAATATTTGCTGAAATGACATAACCCAGAGGGATAGAGCCATATTTTATTAATGAAGAGGTAGGAAGAATCAATATTACGAGTTGTTTTATTGGGTATCATATGACAAAGTATTCAGTATAATTAATCTATGAAGCCATTCTCATTGCATTTTGTTCAAAGAAATAATTTTAATCTAAGAATACCATTCAACAAAATTTTGTACAGCGAAATAATTTTAATTGAAGAATACTGGGGCCTTATCAAGGTAACTTAAAATAAATATTTTAAGAATGCAGCCTTTTCATTGGTCAAGAGCTGATATTTGTACTTAAATTTTAGAGCTCAGCCAATGAACAATCAGTTTTCTTAAAATATTTTAAGTTTTCATGAATAAAACCCTTGTTCAATAAAATTTTTGAATTTAGACACAATGTACCCAATTTGTTGTCAATGGTCCTACATTTGAAGTTATAATTTCAATAAATGAATACAAACCATCGTAATTCGCCTTAAGATTAGTGATATCATGGCCACCTTGCTGTAATCTCTGCATACGTTTTAAATGTTTCTCATGTAGGGCACGACCTTGAGCTTCATCCATGGCATACTTCAACTTTTGTAATTGTTGATCTCTAGCTTGCTGTAATAAATGAAATTCTATGACAGTATTGTAGCAAAATATAGTCTTACTAATTAGTTGTCTGATTCCATATATAGGCCTATTTTGTACTAGAGTTACTTCCCATGATTGGAGTAAACATGGCTTCTAATACAACCTTAGCTTACATTGCTCACACTAAATCCTGAACCGTTTAGCCTACAGGATGAAACAAGTATGACAGGGTATGATTACTCTTTCTGTAACATCAGATATTTATTTAAAGGAAGGAGGCCTATAGCCTACTGAAAGATCTTTTAGTTTGTGGGCCACATTGTTATGGAATAAACTGCCTGACAATTTGAATTTACTTTCTTGTAATTCATTAATGTTTCAAGAAGCATCCAAACATTTATATTTTTACCCTCACTTAGCAAAATTTATTTAAACTACTTGATGTATATTCATGTGACAAGCTAATCTTATTGTATTTTCGTGTGTATTTGTGTTATATTCATTAATTTGGTTAGTTAATATAATTTTCTACGTGGATCATCTATGTTATTTTTAGACATCATTTATTCCTTTCATGTTTTTTAATCTCTTTATCTGTGTAGGTCACCTAAGTGCATTGTGGTAGGTGCGCTTTTCAAATCTTGTTATAATAACATGATTTGCTTGTTCACAGGGGTTTGGAGGGGGATTAAAAAGTTTGCAATAAAGCACCAACCTCTTTCTCTCGTATTTTTTGTTGTTCTAGTTCAAACTGTTTTTGTATAACTTCTCGTTCTCTCTGTAGACGTTGCTCCTCTTCCTGTTCCTCCGCCCATTTTTTCTCACGTTCTAAACGGACCAGATTCTTCTTCTCATCTATCTGATTCTTAATAGCATCCTGTAACTCTAGATGACGCTGTCTCTTTATTTCTAGATCTTTCATCGTAACTGGATCTATTATCACATTCTGTCCTCTAATTAAAGTCCTAAATTAAAGAATGTATTAAAGTGAAAAGGTTTAGTTTAAACAATATTTTATTCAATAAACTGAACTGGATTGAACAACAGGCAAAGGCCTATATAAGTTCTCTCCAAACATATAAAACAGTTATATCTTATGTTTACAATAGACAATGGTGGACATATGTATAGACAGTGAGTTACAAACATATATACATTTCTTGGAGACTAATCGTAGGGTATTACATTTTCATTTTAGATTATGAAATTTATATAAGATAAAAAGTATGGCATATTGTAAATAAAATATTAAATGTTAAAGTATTAAAATATCTTGCTATCTTTAATGTATTTTTGCACTATGTTAAATATATTAAAATTGGTATCATCTGAAAGGTGGGGTTGCCATATAAGATTAGGTTAATTGTAACATTTTGTTTGAGGTGGTGTAAATTATTTTGGAGAATTGTTCAATATGTAGTCTGGACATATGAAAAAATAATGGTAATTATCTTCATCTGTAGAATTACATCTAAATCACACCTTTGTTTCACTAATAAAATGGTAGAATAAATGGTTATTTAAATTACTAGCTTTATTTGTTAATTGGCAATGGATAATATTTTCTTTTCTATTTCCAGTATTATAATATAATAGTGGTCTAAGTAATGGGTATACACGTGGAAGTGAAAAGAATATTTGCCTCTCTTAGTAATGCATGTGCGTACACTCTAACATGTGATCCGTTTTTAAAAATTCTTTAAATTGTGGGCATAAAATAAATGCAAATATTATTAATTTCATGTTTCGTATAATATTCATGCAACAATAATTTCATGTTTACCATAATATTCATGCCACAATAAATTCATGTTCATGACAATGTAAATGCAACAATAATTTCATGCTTATAAAAGTATTCATGCCACAATAATTTCATATTTACCATATTGGTCATGGCACAATAAGTTCTTATTTACCATAATGTTCATCCAACAGCAATCTCTTGTATACCATAGTGTTTATGCCACAATAATCTCATTATAACAATAGTGTTCATGCCACATGTAGCAATAATCTCATTTAAACAATAGTATTTATGCCACAATGATTTTATGCTTATCATTGTGTTCATGCCAGAGTAATTTGATGGTTGTAAAGTTAACCATTGTGTTCATGCCACAGTAATTTTATGGTTCAAAGGTTTACCATAGTGTTCATGCACAGTAATTCCATACCGGAGATTTACCATAGTGCCAATGTCACAATAATTTCATGTTTACTCTAGTGTTAATGGTTATAAAGTTTACCATTGTGTTCATGCCAGAGTAATTTCATGTCTGTAAAGTTTACCAGTGTGTTAGAGAGAGAGAGAAATGGGGTTTAACATCCACTCGACACAAACCAGGTCATTTCAGGACTAACATATGGTTTAATTTTATTTCAATAATTTGCTTGCGCATAGGGGTCTTTAGCAGTGGTAGGAAACCGGAGGACCCGGAGAAAACCCACGAGGTTAGACAGGTGACCCTACTCCTTGTCACGTCCAAATGGGGATTCAAAACCACGCCAGTTGACTCAATGACAGGCCTTATGATACAGCGCGCACGTGCTAACCATTTGGCCATCCAACCCCCCTTTACCATTGTGTACATCCCACAATAATTTCCTGTTTACCATAGTGTACATGCCACAATCATTTCATGTTTAGTATAGTGTACTTGCCACAATAATTTCATGTTTGCCATAGTGTACATGCCACAATAATTTCATGTTTACCATAGTGTACATGCCACAATAATTTCATGTTTACCATAATGCACACGCCACAGTAATTTCATGTTGTACATGCCACAATAATTGCATGTTTACCATAGTGTACATGCCACAGTAATTTTATGTTTAACATAGTGTACATGCCACAATCATTTCATGTTTACCATAGATGCACATGCCACAATAATTGCATATTTAACGTAACATTTTATAAATCATTAACATGACTTACGGTGAGGACAGTGTATCTGTAGGAGCACTATTAACTCTAGCACTATCTTTAACTTCCATATCTTGACTAGATGAATTCTGCTTTAATCCTGATTCATAACGTGGAGATGTAGCAGCAATATTATGTTGCTGTATGGCCGTAGCTTTGGATGAATATCGTGGTGATAACTGTGAAGCGACAGCATTGTGTCTGTGAGATGTTTTCTCAACTCGTGACGAAACTTTTTCAGCCCAGACAGCCGCATCTGCAGCATCTCGCTGTCTCTGTTTTTCTTGTTTTGTCATGGATAATAATCTCTTCTCTTCCTTTTGTTTTTCTAAAATAGAAGAAACCACAAATAATGTTACATATGGCATCTCAGTTGGATATGACTTTTTATAGTGCTCCCATAACCACATAAATATCTTGAAATTCTTAAGATCTACTCTTATTCATAATTCCAACGATCCTGTACACAGGACATGTTTTTGTCCCATCCAAATAACTAGATGTTGTTTCGTGATAGGCCCTCTGCACAACTGACAAGGGAATTGAAACGCTTAACAAATTGGATAGTCAAATTTAAAACTCAGCAATTAAAACAGTGACATTGCCTCAAACATTAAACCCACTTTTTTGAGATTGTGGCCAAAACAATTTCTGGGACCGTATTCAAGAAAACTTACAACTAAACCATTTTAAGAATGAAAAGGCTGCATTCTTCAAATATTTTAATTGATGTTTCAAGAACAAGGTTTCTGGTGTTACAGTCTGTTATAGTAAGCTTATATACTCAATGAAGTAGTAGGCTATTAAATGTCTAATAATATTAATATAAAGATTTATACTGACCTAAATCTTCCAACCATTTTCTTCTTTCTTCTTCTTTTGTTTGTTTGTATTTTGTATCATCTAAAGCCAAACCCTACAAAATCAAAAATGGAGAAATTTTCATAAAATACATGTAACACACTATGTTGAGTTTGTAAATATTAATATTTTAGAACTTGATACTAATATTTCATTCTTTTAATTTCAACATTTTAATACACTATGACTCTAGCGAAAAAGGGGGGTTGGGTGGCCGATAGGTTAGCACATGCGCATTGTATCATAAGGTATGTCATTGAGTCAACTGGCGTGGTTTTGATTCCCCGGTTGTATGTAACAAGGAGTAGGGTCGCCTTTTCAACCTCATGGGTTTTCTTCATGTCCTCAGGATTCGTCCCACTTTTAAAAACCCTTACGTGCAAGCGAATTATTAAAATAAAATTGAACCATGTGTTAGTCCCGAAATGATCTAATTTGTGTCGAGTGGACGTTAACCCCTCTAGCGAAATAGAAATACAAGTAGGCCTATACTCATAAATATATCAATCATTTTATTAACTTACTCCAAAAGCGAAAGAACTTCTCATGGCTGCTGGTGGAACTTTCTGATCTTTGACCCAACGAGGACTAACTTTGGGTACCTGAGGTTCATATTCTTCTCGTGGAGTATTGCTAATAAACACATACAAAAACAAATAAATGAAAGATGTCTGGGTTGAGCACAATGCATGGTATAATAAATTTTACTTAAACATCTAATATCACATGACTGATCTACTGAAAAGAGAAATTTTTAACTAAATCATGACTAAAAATCAACTTCCATTTACGATTAAGCTGGGATTTTTTTTGATTTTTTTTTTTACAAATATCTTAATCCGCTAAACCATGAAATAGCTGGAATCAACATCTTGAAATACGGCTCCAGGACCGATATTTTCAATATTTTTTTTACAATAGTATTAAAATTATAAAAAACGATTGCCGTCCCAGGATTTTATTTTTGATTAAGCTGAAAAAACTCCTTTACAAAATCCTACATCCTGTAAAATTGATAGTTAGCTAAAATTATGATTTTAAGAATAACTAATTGTACTTTAATATTAATTCATAAATTACCATCAATTTCAAAACATTTAAGTTTTCAGAACAAGATATTTATCTGACCCTATTCAGTGCATGGTTGGTATAAATAAATATCAACAATTGTTGTAGATAAATAAATATATTAATATCTTACTGTTTACTAGAAGTAGAAGAAATAAACTTAGCCGGTTGTGGAGGTAAAGGAGCAGGTTTATGTTCCTTTGATAGTTGATTAGCAAACGTATCATCTAGATTCTCTTGTTCTCTTTCTCGACGTTTCTGTAAACGCTTCTCTTCCAGTTGTTTAGCTTAAAAAAAATACACATACACATTTATATCCATCAAAATAGAAAAAAGAAAAAAAATGTTTTCAGGTTAAATTATGCTTCATATGTGTTATAGCCAAACCCTTATAGACAAATGTCAAAGGCGCTGGTGGTCATTTCTTCATGTTTCTTGTGAACCGACAAATCTGATATATTTGAATATTGAGAATTTGCTCTCTGTGGCCATTAAATAATAACATTTATGCAAATAGCGATCCGTGTCCTGATGTATATGTATGAAATATTAAATCACAAAAAAATGTTATCAATTGATGGCCATAGAGATATTAACTGAATGCAAATTTCAAACACGTTTTTCTCAATACTTTATTATATCAGATTCGTCAGTTTGCAAGAAATGTGACGATTTGAGAAATTTTGAATCCTTTGCAAACTACAATATTGTGCTCGTTGAATCTCTAAAAGGAACATCAGTTCAAAAAGAGGTCAATTCCATTTAGTATTCCTAAAGATATGCCGAATTGAAGATTTTGCAACATACAGCATCCTCTGCAGAAGATTTAAACAAGCCAGAGCCATCTATAAGTATTAGGTAAAATGTATTGATGGACCTGTTTTTAATCTGATTGAATCCAACCTGGGAGATTATCTAGCATTGATATTTTGGTCTTGTTTTATTAAATAATTATTCAATAACTAATTTGAGTACATTATAGCATGGATTAAACTAAATATTGTCCGAAAAATGCATGATCAATCAGAAGCTAAGATATTTATTTTTAAATCAATGTAAATTGTTTTAAAAGAAATATATTCTATCACTTACCAAGTTCTTCTCGTAAAATTCTCTGATTTTCTTCTTTTTTAGATTGTTGTTCATTTTGATCTAATAAATGCTGGAAAAAGAAAACAATACATGAAAACAAAAACCAAAAAAGTTTAAGATCAACGTGTAGCAGAAATAATAAGTGCAGGAGAACCACACTACATGCAAAACAAAACTAATAAGACAAACCTGCAGATGAGACAACCTACACAGACATTGCAAGAAAAAAAAAACAAATACCAATTCAACTGAATGGATCTGGGGGCCAGCTGTAAGCATTACCTGGGCCTGTAATAATACATGTGAAAATCCAACCCTCACATTACGTGTATTGTAGAAAGGAAAGTTAAGAATTAGGTTTAGAACAAATTTGAGGACTGTTATTATATCTTTATTCTATCTTTGATTCAAGTTCATTTAGTAAAATCAGTTTTCTTCAACAATTAGGTTCTATTTTGGACTCAGAAAACACTGAACGATTTGCAGGAACATTCAATTTTTAATGGAGATGTCACATCATTCTTAACACATTAAAATACCAGTTATTAATACACTACAAACCTGTGACCCTACGTACGAAAACTTAAACTATAATATTTCATGGATGTAACCATTTCATTGGATGAGGATAATAATCCTTGTACACATGTTAGTTATTTGCCAATGAAAAGGCTGCATTCTAAAAGTATTTTAGTATAAGTTGTCCTGAATAAGTCCCCAAGGTTAATCTATTATTCTCACCCCTATATTTAGAGTACCATAATGATGTTGTTTATCTTGTTGAGGACTAGCAGAATATTTTGTTATATGTTTAGGACTAGTATTATTGGCTTCAGGAACTCGTGGTAAATTATTCTGTCTCTTTTCTTCCTCCTGAAAAAAAATAATAAATAAATTCATCGCTAAAGAGATATGTTTTATTCATAATGAAGTATGGATAGTACCACAAGTAAATCAGCTTATCGTCAAATATAACACCTCTGAAAACAACACAGTAATCAACAATTATTATTTAGTTGATAAGCTCTTAATTGTTGTGGATAATATAACAATTATGTAGTGTATAAATTATCTCACCATCTATTTGTTAATTTGTATAAAGTTCATGACTATTTAATTTCATTAAATTACAATATATCAATATTTATAAAAAAAAAATACCATCTATTGATGAATTAAAATAGATCTTGAAATTAATGTAAATTATAGACAAACATTTGATTCTGGCAAGAAAATAATAAAAACTCTAATCTTTGGGTTAAATTTTATCCACCCGATTACAGTAAATGTTACTACGATTGTATAAAGATATCTGTCTGTAACAGAATATAACAAGATATGCAATGTCTGCTTCCACCAAAGTGATCTCGCAGACAGTATAACAGGATATTACCTCAGGAGGTTTTATAGGTGGAGCACCAGCACCGGGTCGACCCCATGGATCATAATTTTCTGTTTCACCTGTGAATTAAAAAAAAAATGAACTTAAAACTGACCTTATATGGATTCCTTATGGCATATGATTCACTCTATTGTTTTTTAAGACTCATAAATTTTTAATTCTCTAGAAAAAATATTTGATCTGAACCTGATCATAAAACACTACTACAGCTCTTTACATTAGCTACAATCACACTTCAGCACTGACAGCAGTTTTGAATATCTATATTTTAATGTTTAAAACTGTTTTTAAATAAGAAATAAATATTTTAGATTTAAAACTTAAGATCTTTAAGATATTTTGTTACAGTCTATTTCTAAGCTGGATAGTAAAATATTACTATTGATATAGACTACTGATAAAGTACAACTTCAGTGCCAGGGAAAGCGATCAAAACAGCTATGAATCTTTGTTTTAATTGACAACTTGATTTGAATCTCAGCATAGACAAAGAAGAATTTTCAGGACTTTTAAACTCCATCCATTGCCATAAAGTACTAACCTTTTTCGAGAGCCCATTGTAATCTTTTTTTCTCAGCTACTGTGAGATGTGAAAGAGGAACAGGGGGAATATTTAAAGGTGAATCTTTTGACTTAGACAACTCTTCGGATTTCTTTTTTCTTTCAGGAGAACTTTTAACATCTTTACTGGTTTCAGATTTTTCTGTCTTTTTATTTTGATTGTCCTCCAGGGACGCCTTCTCTTTTTCTTTTCTTGCTGTAATATCTTTCTGAAAGTTTTCAACATCTGTGTTGTCACTTTTTCTATCATCTTCAATCTTACTAAAAAATAAAATTAAGTAAAGCCCATTTCATTACAGGCACAGGACTGTACATTACCATGTTCTTAGATGGTTATTGTTATCTGTGGTGCAGTCCTCTTCCATTAACTATTATAAACAGAGGGGATTAACTGAACATTAATGTGGTAGACAAAGTTGATTGTATTAAGTATTTGTAAACTAAGGTTTATAGTCAGCTGAAGCTAAAGCAGCATTAGGTCTATCTAGACACGTCACTAGTATAGGGTCATAACATGTACAGAATATAATTATAGTTAATATGAGTTATGACAGAAATGAAATAGGGTTTAACGTCCTACTGTTCTGCTCCTAAACTGGGCTAATGAAGACGGGCATATGCCACACAGTGTGCTATGAGGGAAATTTTTCTCATGCAGCGGCACTATGACCTACTCTTATATCGAATTCCAACTGCCAAGGGATCTTTAACGTGCATTCCAATGTATACACAGGATCTCAGTTTTTCGTCCCATCCGAACGACTAGACAGCTGTGCTTGTCAGGCCCTTCGTCCTGCCCCACTAACATGGGGAAACCAAGCTGTCAATTCCTGATAAACTTTTTGGCTAACACCGGGAGTGAAATCTAGACATGTCACTAGTATAGGCTCATAATAGAATATAATTACAGTTATATATTCTCATATGAGTAATATAATTAGTTATATATAATATGAGTAATATAATACGAGTTCTATATAAAATGAGTTATATAATATGAGTTACTTACTCTTTCTCTTGATTTAAAAGTAAACTAAGAATATTTCCTTCGTCTTCCTTTTTATCCCTTCTACTGGAAACTTTAACCGATTTTTCTGATCTAGATGACTTGGGATCTTCATCTTTTCTTGGAGAGTCTATTTTTATAGCATTACTTTTAGTATCTAAAGTTCAAGAAATATTAGTTAGAGTTTAATAAAGAGTCGGTCATTCTTGCTATAATAATTCAAAAATAGATAAGAAAAGAAAATATTGAAAATTTCATTCAAATTACTTCATTCTCAGCCAAGTTTGTAGTTTTGACAAGATGTGTGCACAGTGGTAACCAAGGCACTGGTATAATCAGGACTTAATCTCGCTTTCCCAATTTTTAAATTAAATTTTTTAATGGCGAACCTTTTTAATCTAGTTAAAATCTCGAGTATTCGATGCCATCGAGAGTCGATTATGGTCTTGTTTTGTTAATAAATGTCTAATTAATAGTTTATATAACATTTCAGGCCTAAAGAAAGACCTGCAATAGACAGATTTAGCTCTTGCATAATGTATGTTTAAAATTTGTGAAGACAATGGTTGAGGTTACATGAGATTACTTATAACCTGATCCAGTATATTGTTCTTAAATAGTTTGACTGTGTCAAATGTCAGAATGACTCCGGCTAAATGGGTCAAATGATTGAATGGCAGAACATGTCAAATATCAGAATGGCTGAATGCCAAAATCTACCATAAAATGCATTCAATTAGAGTTGGGAATTATGATTTATAGACACATTACCATTTGGATTAAGCAATGTAATAATGCAGCCCACAATAGAAATTTCTTGGATTCTGACTTATTGCATCAATGCATAGTGGTGTCAAATGAGTATAATAGTCCTCTTAAATTTAAGTGGTATCAAATGAACAATAATTGTCCTCTTATTAATTCTAAATACTTATCTTCTAAATTAAAGTATGACACTTACCAATACTTATCCGTAATGCATTTTCCTTTCCTTCTCTTAAATTACCCACAGATTCTAAAATAGCATTTAATTGTTCTTGTGTTAAAGTCACAGTACCACCATTTAAAGGTTTATTTTTTTCATTGTGAACTGATTTCCCTGCGAGTTTATCACGATTCTTTTTAATAAAGTTTTTATCAGGTTTTAAGGGTTTCTTGTTGTTGATTATTTGTGTTTCTTCAAATTGATGATTTTCTGCTTTACTTGCTGTATTTCTTATTGGATGTCTCAATGCTCTCTCTTTATAACCATACTGTAACATTAATACACAAATTAATTATACAATTTAATTTCAAGGTTAAAAGTGGAAGGGGGCTTGGGGGTGGGGGGTAAAGAGTAGTCAAACATGTATTTTTTAAATCATACGGCCTTTCATTATTTCAATCCTAAGCTTTTACGTGACAAGGTGGAGGGTTGACTCAAGCTAACCTTAAGGTTCTTTACGGATCCCTTGGTTCTCTCCCACTTATGAAGATACCTATGTGCTATGTGAAAGCAAATTTTGGATATAAAGATGTACCACATATTAGTCCCAAAATATACTAATTTGTGTCAAATGGACATTACACCCAATGTCTAAAAGGGTATTAATGGGATAAATGAAAAAGAAATGGAATATGAATATTTCCTTCACATTTAATGACAATATATACTATATGTTTGCAACTTCTAAATACATCTTAAACAAATAAATACTACATTGTACTGCTATGAACCTCTGACAAGATTCCCCTATTGTATTTTATAAATTCACAACATGCAAGATTGAAAAGAAAAACAATAATTGTCCGGACACAAAGAAAAGAGGCATAATGGAGCATTACATATAAATTACATTACCAAAAAACTATGAAAACATTAAACATACATTATGCAAGAGCTAAATCGACCTATAGCAGGTCTTTCTTTAGACCTGAAATGTTTTTTTAAATTATTAATTAGACATTAATTAACTTATCCAGGCTATAATCAACTCTCAATGGCATCAGATTTCTCTGATATTAAATAGATTAGAACAGTTCAGCCACATTTTGATTTAAGCGAAAAATGGAGGAGCGAGACTTAGCTTCGAACAACCAGTACGGTGGTTGAAATTATTGCACACATCTTGTCAAACCTTCAAAGGCTAATATCTTCACTCGCAATAGAGTAATTTGAATAAAATTTTCAAATTATTCATTTTACATTATCTATTTTCGAACTATTATGGCAAGAATGGCTAGCTCTTTATCTAAATCTTACATAATGTATCTGTAATTGTCTCAGATAAAAATTGTAATGCAAAAACTATGACCTACCTTTCTTGTTGGTTTTGGTTTAATATCTTAAAAATAACAAAAACAAAAATCATGTAGATTTAATAAGGTTATGAAGAAACTTTAAGTTCAATATCATTGGAATTAAAACAGAAAATATATCAACCAAATGAATATTAATGTTAAATTACTTATTTACAGAACATTTTAAAATAATTGCTGTTTTTTGTAATAGAACCAGTCAATTGCAGACTTTACTGATATGAATTTATATACAAACCTTTCCCTAAAAAGAATATTCCTGCTTTCCCTTTATTTGTTGTTTCAAGTTCAAAGCGAGACTTGGTACTTGAACTGCAATATAAGAAATGTTTTTAAATACTGTAGGCTATTATGGAATGTGTTATATTATAGATTTTAGTAATACTGTACATCTTCCCAAGCCAATTATTAAAATATTCATAAAAGCACTTGCTTAAAGCCTCTTGTTTAGTTGTTCTGTTGTGAAGTCAGGATACTTCTCACACTTGTTTTAAAAACATATCACATATCATATCATAAAGGTTATGAAGTACACTAGCTACTGACATTGACTTGTAGGGTTTAACACCAACTAATGATGAGATGGGTATTTCCATGGCAAAGGGAAATAAAAAAATAACCTAAGCTTGTCTATCAATAATAATATCACTTGAAAAGTTTAAATAAACCATTTTACAGTTTTAAAGTTGTTTTTTTTTATAGTATTTGCAATTTCCCAAAAAAAAATAAGACAGTACAAATCAAAATTTACATATTAACATGATCTATTGGATATGGGCCAGTAAACATTAATAACAGTAAATCATAAACTAATTCATTTTCATTTTATTGTTCCATTCATGGGATATTTTGTTAGTCTTGTTCTGTTGAATTGGCTACCAGTACCTCAATAGTTGTGCTATTTATAGTAACGTTACGCCATGAGAGTGATGCTAGAGTAACAAAGCAAATCTCTTTCGTAAGAACAGTCGCTGCTCACTTGTTACAGTGATATTTCAACAATAGTTTGGAAAAAAAAGATCTTAAATGGAATATTATTATTCTCTCGAGTACTGTGTCAACAGAGAGGGGATTTTAGTTTGTAAAATTAAATTCATATTGACCACTGCATCATGTCAGTGTCTTGTGCAGTGCTGCATCAATAACCTAATTATTTGAACTGGCAGATGCTTATCTTACTTTACTTGAAATGTGTCAAAGCAAATACCGTAATAAAAGACATTTGTTCTGTTATATAAGACCAGTTTGTTACAATCAATTTATGGACGTAGAATTTGTTGAAATTGATAAAATTAAGATTGGACCAATATTTATTTTAACTGCCATTATGGTACAGTTATAAGTGGTAGTGGTACCATGAATTTTAAAACTATGGTATTTTTTACAAGGGCTATATGGTATGGCACCGGTAGACTTTACGTCAATGTATTACTTAAGTACCGGTAGTTAAAATTATAAAATAAATATTTTCGATTTCGAACACTTCTTCATCTTGCTTGAGTTCAGTCGAGTTCAGTTCCAAAACATTTGATTAAATTATGCATGAAAAACTGATAAATATGAAGAAATTCATGAATTATGTAGAATGCTACCCTTTTTCTTGTTCTATCTTACAAAAATTTAGAAATAATATTTAAAATCTACCGAACATGACCAAACCCGATCTGAACCAATCGAAGCAAATGTCAATATTTTAATTTTTCAAAACGGTTGTCAGGATACAGCGCAATTCACAGTTTTTTGTTATTTGAGGTGTGATCAAGGCAATTATACTTACCCAAAACTCATTTTTTCTGATCAATAGAGGAATCAATTCATACTTTCATCGATTTCACATATTTTTCACAGTTTTTCATTGATTATTTACACATATTGTTTGTTTCTAACAACTCTTTAGTTTGACATGCGTAGGACATTCTTCCGACAAGGAAAAGTTAACTCTCTTTACAATTTTGTTGTTTTGATTATTCCAGACTGTAGAATTAATGTCCAGTGACGAAGAAATATGGCGACATCCATGAACATGTTGAAGTCTCTTCTTTTGCTTCATGGGCAAACTGTCAGGTTTATCAGTAAAGCACAATGTAGAGGTATACAATTAAAGAAACCCTTTATTCATTATCTAATATAAATTTTGGTTTGTGAAACTGTTGGGATCGCTAATATTGCCAAATTATTGCAGGACATCTGACGTGAAGGGGATTGAATTCAGTTGAACATTGTCATTGATGTGGCTCCCATATGATTCAAGGTCCTATATCCCCGACCCTAACCCTCAGTATAAACTTTATAAAGTGAATCAGGTCAACCATGATCGCCGAAATAGAGAGCAGTGGGGAGGGGGTCATAGATTTGTAACGGAATATTACCCAGGAAGATGTAAATTGTAAATCGTGAGACTGTTTGCTTATTTGTGCACTCTCTTCTTGAGTTTAGGGGCCAAATGCATTTATTTTTAGGACAGTTTTAATACTAGAGAAGCTGAAATTGATGAGCATGATCCCACTCCATCCCTTGCAACCTGTCTGGACTTAAACCTAATTAATGTAAAAGTATACATGACAATTTTGACTATTATTTGAAGTACGTACGATATTATCATTATTCCAGATGTAGTGAGAAGACAGTGTGGTAGAAGATGCAGTAGTACAAATGTTATGCAGGCTACGGGTGATAGGTACGATCTATTAGGAGCTGTTTGTCTGGAGAGAAAACCAATTATTGTACAGAAAAAAACTCAAATAGAAGAAAAATACAACACAATGATCCGTCGAATAGAAAACGAACACAGCTTATTGTCAGACCACGAATTAAGGCACAAGGAAGATTTGTAAGTCATGGATATAATTATCCCAATATCAGTCTCCATTAGGGGGAGCCACAGTGGCTAAGTGGGTAAGACGCTGGCTCGCTAACCTGGAGGTCGCATGTTCAATCACTGCATTGACGGAGAAAGTTCATCAGGATTTACCCTTGTCATTGGTGCAGAATGGAGGGCCTAACAAGGACAGCAGTCTATTCATTCGGACGGTACGAAAAACCGAGGACCCGTGTACACATTGGCGTGCGCGTAAAAGATCCCTTGGCAGTTGGAATTCGATATAATAGTAGGCCATAGTGCCAATGCACGGGCAAAATTTCCCTTATAGCACACTGTATGGGGTATGCCCGTCTTTATAAGCCCAACAGGAGCAGAAGAGTAGGACATTAAACCCCATTTCTTTTCATTTCTAGTCTTCATTAGATATTTTGAAGAAAATGAAATGTAGAATTTATTGCTTAAAATCTCAGTGGATAAACCTTTAAGGAACAAGCTTGCATAGACTAATTAAATTCTGTATAAGCAATGTTATCAAATACTACTGATTATGTTAGTCTAGATTATCATGTCATTTGTGACATAGAACTGCAAAGTTAGATAAATTTACACCTTTTCAGTCGACCTTTAGAGATTGTGCAATAAAAGAATATTGTATTTTTACAGGTTATACGCTGAAAAATCAAAAGAAGATGATTTTGAAGAAACAGAAATTGATGGAACTCGACAAACAGCTCTAGATAGAGAAGATATCTGGGAATCTGAAGCTAAAGCATTTATTACTGCCGACACTATTACTGGTAAGGCCATATAAAATAAATGTTCCTACGTCACTTAAAATGGGCTGCACAACACATTTATTTCAGAAGATGAAAAAAGACTAAAAGTCTCTTAATAACCACGCGTAAATGCTTTACCGTGGTTACAGGAAGCATCTCTATATAAAAAAAATTTGGAAATGAGATGCTCAATTATGAAACATGAAACCCTGATAATTGTTATTGACAATCATAAATGTGCTGGATATGAATAATCATACATTCCTATAAATTACCAATCTGATTAAAATATAGATCTATATTTCGTTCCGTTTTTTATATTTCCGATGGCCTACACTACATGTAGTCATGTAGATCTAACAAGTTATAGTGGGAGTTCACGTCAGATGTCAAATAAGCGACATATGACCCTATAACGTCAGTCATTCGATTAACCAATCAGAATCGATGTTGCAAGTGGCTATGCTTTGCTTTGTTTTGATTTCTATCGCTGCTAATGTCTACCCACAGTTCCGCGCAAAAAAGGTCAAGCACTCGATTCAACAGACCATTTGATTGGCTGACCCCTCATTTCAAGCAGAACACGAGTTAAATAACAAGTTAAACGAAATTTTGAACTATAAAAACGAAACGAAATAGGATCCGTGTTTTAATCAGATTGATAAACAACATGATGAGATAAATGATACTGGATAATCATACATTCCTATAAACAACATGATGAGATAAATGATACTGGATAATCATACATTCCTATAAACATCATGATGAGAAAAATGTAGTGCCTTGAAGTAAACTTACCTCCCTTATCAGATTTTTGGTAAGGATTGTCTGAGAGCCTGTGTGCCTGGACAGCTCTTATATCGAATTATTCCAACTGCCAGGGATCTTTTATGTACACAGGACCTTGGTTTTTCATCCCATCCAAACAACTATAAATTGTCCCTTATGGCGGGCCCCCTGTCCTGCCCCACTGACAAGGGGTAACCACACCAGAAAATCATGATGAACTTTTGCGGCCAACTCTGGGATCGAACACGGGACCTCTCAGTTTGCGAGCCAACATCTTACTCGATGAATTGGTGTACTACTTAGGTATAAAAGTTAGCTATGGCCTTAATTTTATCTTTATTTTATATTTGAATAGAAGCAGATAAGACAGATGATAGAAGATCTTTAGAAAGAAAATTAGATGAAAAACTCATATTAATCGTCAAGCAAAAGTTAGGAAATACAGAAAAATGGATATTACCTCAATCTTCGTGGGTGTCAGGGGAATCTATGAGGGAGGTATGAAATGATCACAGTATTGAGACTCTTTTTCACCCACCCTCCATTTAAAACAGTAATAGCTTAAAATGTTTTGGTGGATATCTGATTTGAAGCCCTTGATCATCATTTTGAATCCCTTGCTAACCACAATATTGTGAATATTGGATCTCAAAAATGGTTCACCAATGCCATTCAATATTGTTTAATGGTCGAGAGCGAGACATTAAGTAATATATTGTAACTACAAGAGGGACGTGAGGCCTGAGTGTTTTTACAATATATTACGCAATGTCTTAAGCTCGAGACCATTAAGCAACTTAAATACAGACACTTGCACATGCTTTGCAATGAAATATGTTACTCGGGTTCAATAATTGAACTAGTTACACTTGGCACATTGTCCATACGATTATTTGAAATAATGGTAGCCAACATCAAAGGATGACTTCACATCTGTATTTTAAGTATTCAAAAAGATTTGCAATGTTGACATTCTCTTTAGCTGATATTAACATGTTGCGTATAATCTTTTGATTTGCCTCTTTTGAATTTAGGGGGGTTGGATAGCGGAATGTTTAGCATGTGCGCGTTGCATCATAAGGTCTGTCATTGAGACAGCTGCCGTGGTTTCGATTCCTCGGTTGTACGTGACAAGGAGTAGGGTCATCTGTCCAACCTTGTGGGTTTTCTCCGGTTCCTCCCTCTGCTAAAGACCCTAACCCTTACGAAATGACCTAGTGTGTGTCGAGTGGACGTTAAACCCCATTTCTCTCCATCTCTTTTGAATTTGATTGCATCCCCACAGAGATTATCTTCCACCAATGTTTTGGTTTCTGAATCAAATATTAAATTACCAATTGAATTATGGAAAGGTTAATGCCATGAAGAAAAAAAGAAAGATAATTTTGGGGGGTTTCATGTGGGGTCTTTTGGTTCTGTCACTTATTTTGGTTGTTAATTGGTCGCTATGCCGACAGTAAGACCTTTTTTTTAAACTGAACTTTGTCTACTGAGGAGTAAATGGATTAAGAGGTATGTTCCCACGGTAATTTAATGTATATACATTTGTTTTACAGACAGCTACTAGAGCGTTAAAATCAAGTTGTGGAGAAGTAATAGAATCTGTATTTTATGGAAATGCACCATGTGGCTTCTATAAATATAATTACCCTAAAACAGTAAATAAAGAAACCAGAGGATCCAAGGTGAGACCCGTTCCCTTCTTAACCCGTTAAGCGTGACGTTTTTAAAACGTTAACTACCCCCTATTGTGTAATTAATTTGAAGAAGTGACGAAGAACTATGTACTATGTTCTAAGAATAGGTTGGGGAAAATACCTCCAAGGCGTTATATTACGCCTTACACACAGTGAGTGGCAGTTGTCCAGGACGTAATATAAAGTCTTACACATGCTGCGATAGTGGGGGAATTCCCAAGGGAATAGGTTGGGAAAAATACCTCCAAGGCGTTATATTACGCCCTACACACAGTGAGTGGCAGTTGTCCAGGATATTATATAATGACTTACGCACTTAACGGGTTAATATCTCTGTATATTAAAGCCACTGATGATTATTTAAGGGATCTTGTTAGGGTGACCCACCATAAATAAATATCTCCAAATATCTCAACAATTACACCACAATATTTATATATACACCAAGCCTTAAATCATTTCGCACATTTATAGTCACTAAATAAAGGGTCATGTTGTATTTAATAAGCTATGACCATTTAACCATCCATAAATAATACACTGAAAGATGGTTACGAGTGTCTGCCATAACATCCGGGCACTTGTGAGTACAAAATAGGTTAAGAGATATTATTTGTACTAAACCAAAAGATGACGCTCCTAAAGGTACAGTTAATGATAAAGCAATTTAAAAAATAAAACAAAGATAATTTCTAAAGCTGCGGTAATAACTAAAAAGCTAAATATTACTGCTATTCAGAATCATCAACAGTAGATTTTTTTACGGCTGTTGTAGTTGATAGATGTGTAGAAAATTGCACTTGCGATGGCTATTTATAGTCTCATAGACTCTAGCGCTGAGTATTATCATACTGCGTAGTAAGTGAGAAATCACTTCGAGACAACCCACCGAAGCGTGCACATTCGCATTGTCGAGTCCAACTTTCTGTCGGGAAAACTTTCACTGCACGGGTCACCCTAATCTTGTATAACTTGTAAACTACAATATAGCGAAACTTGAATCTCTAAAAAGGTATATTAGTCAAAAAATGGTGTAATTCAAATTTGTGTTTACAAAGATAGATATTTAAAATTCCCTGCAAATCCCCAGGGATTTTCAAATATCTATTTATGGGCTCTTGCTCCGCTGGTATCATCGGTTGATCCAGCAGCTACTGGCCTGTCCAGCTTAAGCAACTGTTTTAAGGGTGTGTTGCCATTCCTCCTCTCGTAGCCTATTTACAAAGATCTGATGAATTGATAATTTTCAAAATTCTACTGACAATATAATTCAGCCAGTGCTTAAATTTTTTAATAGGCCTCATTTTTATCTGATTTAAAGTACAGATGTGACATCACTCTTTGATGTTGGCGTACCATTATTTCAAATAATGGTTCGGGCAACTTGCCAATCGTACATTATTTATACTTATGAAATATTGGACACGTGTGACGTGTTTTACTGTAAAAGCATGTGCGGAGTGTCTGTATTTTAAGTTGTTTAATGGTCTCGAGCTTAAGACATTGAGTAATATATTAAAACAACACTCAGGCCTCACAGCCTTCGTGCTGTTTCAATATATTACTTAATGTCTCGCTCTCGACCATTAAACAATACTTAATCACTAATTGTGTAGAGTTTGATAGTAACCTTTTGTTTAATTAATCCTATATTTCAGATATTTTTCTTCAAGGCCAAGTATAAGGAAGGAGAAGTTACAATAAATAAAGATAATGTTATAGATTATTTATGGGTGACAAAAACAGAACTTATAGACTATTTAAATCGTGATTATTATCGTAGTGTTGATCAGTTTATCCTAGATTTATAGTAATAGGTATATAGTAATAAAGTGTTATTGTGTGTTTATCTTCTGTTTATTCACTTTGTTAGAATTAGACATTTTTTGACGTCCTAATATGACAAAGAGAAACACCTTTAATGGTTTTGTCGGATGTTTTAAATATGGCCAGAGAAACATATTTACTGGTTTTGTTGGATGTTTAAATATGGCAAGAGTAACATCTTTACTAATTGTTTTGTTACGATTGGGAATTGTTGGAAATCCAAATATGGCAAGAGTAACATCTTTACTGGTTTCGTTTGATATTTTAAACATGGCAAGAGTAACATCTTTACTGGTTTTGTTTGATGTTTTAAACATGGCAAGAGTAACATCTTGACTGGTTTTGTTAGGATTGGGAATTGATGGAAATCTAAATATGTATGACAAGAATAACCTTATTTACTGTCTAATTTTCATGGTTGTGCAATGGGTGAATTCTTACCAGTACTGCACACAGGAAATAAAAATGGTATGGGGTGGAATAGATTTAACGCCTTGTCAAAAGATTACTTCAGTAATTTTGAGACTAACAAAATGTGAGATGGACAATGTTGCCTGTTTACTCTTCATCACATTTCAACTGCCAAATGGATCCCTTATATACCTACCAATATCTACAAGGGATCTAGGATTTTTGACCATTCAAATGACAAATCAAAATGGCAAGTGGACTAGGCTCAAAATCATCTGTGAAACCAGCTTGTGGATTCAATGTTCTAACCACACAACTACCACACCCCCTCTAACCAACACATCCCCCATGGTTTTAACACAACTACCACATCCAACCAACACGTCCCTGATGCCCAACAGTTTTAACACAACCACAACAACTCCTCCAGTTAACACATCCCCCACACCCTATGGTTTTAACACAACCACCACAACTCCTCCCTCCATCCCCCACACCCCACGATTTTAACATAACCACAACAACCCCTCCCTCCAACCAACACATCCCCCACACCCCACTATTTTAACACAACCACCATAACCCCTCCCTTCAACCAACACATCCCCCACACCCCACGATTTTAACACAACCACCATAACCCCTCCCTCCAACCAACACATCCCCCACACCCCACGGTTTTAACACAACCACCATAACCCCTCCCTCCAACCAACACATCCCACGATTTTAACATAACCACAACAACCCCTGCCTCCAACCAACACATCCCCGACACTCCACGATTTTAACATAACCACAACAACCCCTGCCTCCCAACCAACACATCCCCGACACCCCACAGTTTTAACACAACCACAACACATCCCTCACTTTTTCCACACAACCGCCACAGCCAACACAAACCACGCCCCCTCTAACCAACAAACACCACATGGCTTTCACAATATTTAATAGATAACAATTTCTTATTCTCTACATCTCATAGCTTATCAGCTGTTTTTTTTTTTTTTTCATTCCTGGTGTGTTTAAACCCAGGTCCGTGACTTGGGGGGGGGGGGGGTGGACCATAGAAATACATTGTCAATTTTACAGCACTCCTGAGAACACTTCCCACCCCCCTCGTTGCTCTGAGCTAGTTATGACCCGGTTTAAATCTACATTTGTATATCACATGGGTTTGGAAGGGATTAAACCAGAGAATTGGATTAAGATTTAGGATTATTATCACCAGTTTAATATCACCAAACTTGATTTATTTCTGATATATTTAATAACAAAACAAAGAACAAATTAAAGGTGTTTTCAATGATAGTACTGGGAGATATGAACAAATTGATAGCCCTGTTATAATCAATAAGGTGTTGTTGCTATTATAAATATTTCACATTTAACAAGCTTATATCTGGTATATTTTCTTTAATTTGTTTATTTCAGCCTCGGACGCCATCTTGTTTTCTTGCATACCAGTAAATAATTCTTTCACAACTAAAAATAAACAAACAAATTTATTATTACCTACAGCATTTAAATCTTACATTGTGTCCAATAACTTAATTCACATGGTAAAATTCTATATTTTTTACATAATCCAATGCTACTATTCGAAGAGATGTGGTATTCTTTTTCAGAGAAACACAACCCAACAATTTTCATGTGTATTGGGAAAAGCGAACAGCTATAGTGTCTGGATAAGCATTTCTATGCCCGTCTTCATTAGCCCAGTATAGGAGCAGAACAGTAGGACGTTAAACCCCATTTCATTTCATTTCATTTCTATGAATTGTTATAGTGCAATAGTCACATTTAACAAGTCACTCATTACAGGTGAATGAATGAATGAATGAAATGGGGCTTAAGGTCCTACAGACATAACCATGTAGTGTGCTATGAGTGAAATTTTGCCTGGACAGCAATTAAACTCCTAATTATTAAGGGTTCTTTTATGTGCACGCCAAGATGTACACAAGGGCCTCAGTTTTACATGTCATCCGAACGACTAGACCCTGTTATTAAGTCCCTACGTCCTGCACCACTGACAAGAGGAACCCATGAAGGAAAATCCCAACAATGGGATCGAACACTGGACTTCCTAGCTAGTGAGCCAGTGCTGTACTCACCGAGTCACCGTGGCCCGCCTCATTACACGTAAACAATACATATGTAAATCCTATAAAACAATTTTGATAAACATTTCCAAAAGACTCAATATATGGAGCTGTAATTTTAGATTTGATAAAAAAGATTGTATTGTTACAAACTCTTATATAAATACCTTGTTTATCTTTACTAGACATAAACATGACAATCATAGAAAATCTCTTTACTTCTGATAAATATTTTAAATGTTGATAAACATTTTTCTTTGATCTGAAAGAAAATAAATCTATATATAGCTTCACAAACATAGTTAGTCTTAATGGGCCATTAAACAAATTACAGAACTTACATGTAAATTGGAGCCACGGTGGCTAAGTGAGTAAGACGCTGGCTCACTAGTCTGGAGGTCGTGGGATCGCTCCTGGTGTTGGCTTAGAAAATTTATCAGGATTTTCCAGCGTGGTTTCCTCTTGTCAGTGGTGCAGGATGGAGGGCCTGACAAGGACAGCTGTCTAGTCGTTTGGACGAGACGAAAAACAGAGGTCCTGTGTACACATTGACGTGCACGTAAAAGATCCCTTGACAGTTGGAAATCGATATTCCATTTACAATATTGTGAGAGTTGAATCTCTAAAAGGTATATCAGTCGCAAAATGGATCAATTCTGTTTAGTATTAACAAAGATGTGATGTACTGAACATTTTGCAACAATCAGAAAACATCTTCTGTCAATGACATAAAAAAGCCAGCACCACCTGTTGGGTAAAATCTTTTGATGGACCTCCTTTTAATCCGATTAAATACAAACATGGAGCCTGGAGATTATCTACCTACCGTTAAAATCTGCTTTGCAAATTTACATAACACAAAATGGTGGCATACTGCTGTTACTAAATGTATACTATTCAAAAAAAGTAGGGGATATTTGATTTTGGGGGCATAATACTAAAATATGCAAATGACATATTTCCAGTTACATGTGACGCCCAAACGCACCAATAGCTACCGCATGGAATGCAGGTGATGCTTGGGATCATCATGGGGGTCCAACCCAAGATTTGCACGACTCTGACTTTGAATGTTACAGTCATTGTGGCATTGAATTCCAGGGTGGAAACATCAGTTTAATTGTTTTAGTGACCAGAAAACAAATTTTGATATGCGTCGGCTTACCCAAAATGAAAGGTTACGTGCCCTTGGCATGCTACAGATCGGCACAACACAGGCGGTTGTGGCGCGGACGATGAATGTTTCTCAGTCTGTCATAAGCAGGCTATGGTCCAGATACCGTGATACACAATCTGTACAGGACAGACCATGCTCAGGTCGACCAAGGGCGACAACTCAAGCCCAGGATCGATTTATCCGTACCTTGGCCTTGAGAAATCGTGTCATGACAGCAAATCAGATCAGCGCTCGTCTTCAAACAGACACTGGTGTGAGAGTGAGTGGCCAGACGATTCGGAATCGACTGCATAGGGGTCACCTTCGCGCCCGACGTCCTCGCGTGATCCCTTGTTTGAGAGATCATCACATTCAGGCAAGACGTCGTTGGTGTAGGGATCGTCAACACTGGGATAATCGACGCTGGAGCAATGTGATGTTTTCAGATGAGTCAGGGTTCACTGTTGATTTTTTGGACAGACGTAGGAGGGTGTGGCGTCGTCGAAACGAGCGCTTCCAAGACGTTAACGTCATCAGACATGATCGATTTGGGGGTGGTTCTGTTATGGTGTGGGGAGGCATCACTGTTGCTAGAAGAACGGCTTTACATGTTGTTGCAGGGCGTGTTACAGGCCAGTACTACCGGGACAATATCTTGGCAGTCCATGTTGTGCCGTTCGCACGACGTCATGGCCGCCGTTTCATCTTCCAGGATGACAACGCAAGATGTCACAGGGCCAGGATCGTTACAGGTTACCTCCGACAACAGAACATCACCACATTACCTTGGCCAGCACTGAGTCCCGACCTCTCCCCCATCGAGCATGTCTGGGACATGCTTGGACAGAGGTTACGTCAACGTCAACAACGTCCTGCCAATGTCCAAGAACTTGCTGCTGCGTTGCAACAGGAATGGGACAATCTGGACCAAAATGACCTTAGACGTCTCATTAGGAGTATGCCACGTCGGATCAATGCTTGTTTGGCAAACAGAGGAGGATTTACCCGTTACTGACTTGGTTGTGATGCTGTGGTAACTTTGCTGTTTGACCCCGGGTATCATTTTACCCTTATAATGGTCAGTCTGTGCCTTACTTAGTCTAACGATCATTTGGAATAAATCGATGAATGTGAACTTCATTTCATTTTGTCATTTGTTTCTTCGTCAGTTTCATTAGGTGACTTTAATAACACTTAAAAATCAAATATCCCCTACTTTTTTTGAATAGTATATATACTTACGGAAGAAAGTGCTTCTGTAAAACAGCAAATATATTTAAAAGGACATCTGAATCTAGTGATTCACCAAACAGTTTTGGAAAGGTTGTAGGATTAATTCTCTAAAATAAAAAACAAAAACTTTAATATAAACAATCTGTAAATTCAATAAATGTTCCTGAAAAGAGATAACATGAATTTGTTGCTGCATACATAATCAACAAGAAAAACCTATAACAAAGACTAGAATGTTACTCAAAATATCAACCAAAATATATAAACACAGGTATCTTTAGAATAAATGAAATGCACCAATCGGATCAACAAAGACGGGCATACACCATGCAGCGTACTCTAATTCCAACTTCCAAGGGTTTTTTTTTTACATGCATGTCTACATGTATATGCAGGACCTTGATTTTCCGTTCCATCCGAATGATTAGACACTGTCCTTTGCTAACCCACTGTTCTGCACCACTGACAAGGGGAATCCCCTCTGAATATTTTTTTTGAATAAGGATTAAACTCCACTTACCTGAAAATATTCACAAAAGGCCTCCAGATTGTTTTTCAGTTCTTTGTAATCGGCTATGAACTGAAATGATGTTGTGGCAATAGTTTTCTGTTTAGCCATTTCCATAACATCAATGGTTCGAGGTGAACTTGATTGCGAAGATGGCTGAGCTTTTGCTTTTTCCGATCTTGGGGAGATTTGGGTTTTTTTATTACACTTAACCAATTCAGACGCTGTAACCGTTTCATCCGTAGATGATGACACTTCTTGTATTTTAATTCGGCCTGGTTTCTCTGAGATTGTTTTTTCCACTTCTTCTGTTTTAATTCTGCTTGATGTTTCTGATATTGTGTCTTCCTGATCTTCTATTTTAATTCTGCTTGATTTTTCTGATATCGCTTCTTCCACTGGATTTGTGTTTTCACTTTTTGTTGCTATCAATTGTTCAAACCGACGACTTTCTTTCTCAATTATTTCTTTAGATTTAACACTTTGTGTAGCTTTTGTTTTGGCAATTGCGGCTTCACGACTTGCGTCTTTTTCAATACCTATTTCTTGTATTTCAATCCTCTTTAATGGCTTCTGTAAGAAAAGAAAGATTAGATGCAATGAATAAATGACAGCAACTAGAAAGACGGCATATACTGCTTAGTTTTTCGGCACTTAAAATGACCGTTACGTGTTTGGTCCAGTTCCTGGAATTAATAATCTATTCTAAATTCCAAAGGCAGGGTCCCCTTCCTACAACTCTTCTAGAGGTCCTACAACATTCTGTAATTCACTTTAAATTATTTATAATTTACTTAATGAAAACATCACTAATTATATGCTATAAAAAAATCATCATATTCTTAACTTTGGAAGAATACATTATGAATTTATCCACTGATTATGCAACAAGAATTTGTTGTGAGGACCTGACATTTATTGCCATGTATGTCATCACTTCAAGGACTGTTACCTTAGATCTTTGTTCTGGAAGTTTATAAATAGGTTTTACAATTCCTTCTTCTACAATATCTATACTAGATACAGGTGCTCTATCTTGGGTACTTCTACTTAACTCCTATAATATATAAAATATATAGTTTTACATAAAATTTGTTTACTAATGTGTGTAATAAAGTTGTTTTCAATAATGGTGTAAAAAAGGATTTATTAAAGGAGCTAAGTCTCTAACTCAATATTTTCCATAATATTTGAAATTAAAAACACAGATTAGAATTCAATATTGGTCCATTTCAATCAATATTGATATTGTTATGTTACTATGAAAATGTGGGATCCTAATATCCAATATTTAAGACACAATGAATGTTTTAAAATATGGTACACGAGTCGTGTACCAATTTTTTTTTCGGGCACAAAACCAATGAACAAAAAAAAAACATATCGTAATTTACAATGAGGTAGTAAATTGTAATGTCTGATTTACAAATGACAAAATAATAATAAAAAAACGTGAAGAATGGGCTAATTAGGCATAAACGATTGTCGTTCAGTTTGGACTGTTTGCGTATTTCACAAAACATAATTGATTAGAAATTACAATTTTTAAAAATAAAAAAAATTGAATATAAATCACTTTACATACACTCATATTACATTTATGCTTCCAAAAAATAGCGTCATAGGCCCTTAAATGGAAACTTAAGAGGGAGTTTGGTGGGGGTAATAATGTTTTAAAAAGAGATATATATTAATACAAAATTTACAAGCATGTTATTTCAACTCTGCAATAAGGATCTTCTTTAATCAAGAGATATTGTAAGGGAAATAATAATATGCATCTGGAATTTCACTACAATGTGGAGTTCAATTTATTTTTGTTTAGTTACATAAGCAACACTATTCTTTGTCATGTATACGTGGCATTATCTTGCAACTGACTTTTTTACATTATTGAACTTAATGATCAGAAAGTTCGTGAAACATGATGGTGATTAATTCTATGTCAGGAATCAACAAATGGTCAATTACAACGATGACATAACTAAGATCAATAGATCAATTATTGAGACCAATTGCCCACATCATTCAGATGATAAAAATGTATTACCTTTTCTAATTTAGCCAATTCTGTCTTTGCTGCTTTGTTTTGCGGTTCAAGATTCAATATTCGTTGGTAATCATCTTTGGCTAAATCAAACTTCTGTAGTCCTACCCTAGCTGTAGCTCGCCTTAGGTAAGATTTGATATATAATGGATCTAATTGGATGGCCTGTGTAGCATCTGATTCAGCAGCAGCATACCTGAATAACAAGAATTAAAAGATAATTCTAATACTCAATTTATATATTGTAGTTTTTATTCTTTTATAGATAATATATGACATAATACTAAAACTGAGTTAAATTGGATTTTTCCTTTTTATAGAGAGAGAGAGAGAGAGAGAGCGAGAGAAAAGGGGTTTAACTCCACTCAACACAAACTAGGTCATTTCGGGAAAAGATATGGTTTAATTTTATTTCAATAATTCGCTTGCGCGTAGGGGTCTTTAGCAGTGGGAGGAAACCGGAGGACCCGGAGAAAATCCACAAGGTTGGACAGGCGATCCTACTCCTTGTCACGTACAACCAGGGATTCGAAACCATGCCAGTTGACTCAATGACAGGCCTTATGATACAGCACGCACGTGCTAACCATTCGGCCATCCAACCCTCCTCCTTTTTATAGATATACATGTACCAATATATTGGTAACAGCATACCATTACATTGACACTGACATTATAAATGTAGTTTGACATATAAATAACAACTACATGCCATGATGTTTTGTTTGAAAAAACAATTTCTGTTTATCAAATACCTTTCTAGTTTTAGTAAAGCCATAGCCCTGTTGCCTGGTAACAAGGCATTTGTAGGGTCTGACAAAATCCCTTTAGAGTACCATTCAACAGCCTGTTCATATTCCCCTTTTTTAAAATATTCATTGCCCTGAAAAAATTAAATAAACACATAATACATTTCTTAACAAAAAGGAACACGCATGTAGGAACTGTGGCGACTTTTTCATATGTCTGAATTTTAAACTTAAGAAAATCCTTGAAGAGTAAGATCTAATTCAAATGTACGTTGTTGTAGGACTGAAGAAAATACCTGTAAACAATTTAGGTCTTGCATTGGTGGAATGTAATCAACCTTGTATGAGAAGTGAATGCAAATTAAGCTTAACAATAAAATGAAATGAAATGGGGTTTACACTATACCGTTCTGCTCTGACTGGGCGAATGAAGACAGACATAAGCCATACAGTGTGCTATGAGTGAAATTTTGCTCAGACAACAGCGCTACAGCCCATTCTTATATCGAATTCCAACTGCCAGGACCTCAGTTTTTCATCCCATCGAACAACTAGACAGCTGTTAATGTCAGGCCCTCCTGCACCACGCCGGAAAATCCTGATGAACTTTGTCGGCCAACACCGGGATAGAATGCGCCACCTCCAGGCTAGTGAGCCAGCAACTTACTCACTTACCCAACGTGACTCCCAAATTAAGCTTAAAGCTGCCAATCATCATTTGTGAGATTTTTAATGCCTTGCAAACTATGATATTGTGAAAGTTGTATCTCTAAAAGGAATATCAGTCAGAAAATTGTTCCGTACAGTATTTACAAAGATAATATGAATAGAAAATTCAGACAATATAAAGAAGCCAGTGCCACCTATAAGCAATGGGTAAAATACTCTGATGGGCTCTTTTTAATCTAACTGAATCCATGCTGGAAGAATATCTACTGTTAACAATTGTGTATATTTTAGCATGGATTAAACCTTAAAAAATTAGATTTTGTCCGAAAAAATCCACGATGGATGGCCTTTAAACTGGTTATTTACTTTATTTTTTTCTTCAATAGCCTGTTGTTGTAATCTGATCGTTTCCCATTCTTCATCAGATTCAGAATCTGTTTCTAGATCTGATAGTGATACATCATCTCTATCTTCTTTTATATCTTCACACGCCTTATCCTACAATGTACAAATTAAAACAAATCTAACAAGTTGTAGGAAATATTAATAATATTAATTAAACATACATTATGCAAGAGCTAAATCTGCCAATTTCTTTAGGCCTGAAATGTTATCTAAATTATTAATTAGACATTACTTAACTTATCCAGACCATAATCAACTCTCGATGTCATCACTAGCCTGCAATATTTTCTAGATTAGAATCCTATCTGCTGCTTAATGCTCATTGATAATTAATTAAAAAAATGTATAATCGAGACTATGTTTTTATCGTACCGACTTTAGTAATGATGATCAAGGCTAAAACCCAAAATTCAATCGCTAAAATCTTGGTTCCGAGTGGATCAATTTGAAATTTTCAGCGAATTGCCTTTACATTATCTAGTTTTTAACTATTATAGCGAGAGTTTCTAGCTCTTTATCTAATCTCCCATAATGTACTGTATTGGTATGCAGATATATCCAGATTTCTGGGCTTCCATAGAGTATTCTCCCACTCTTGGAGTAGGCTTACCACCAATGGCAGAGAAAAAGGATGTTCAACACCCCAAGACAATTTTGTTTGCTCGGAACTAAAAATGGACTTAATGGTAAGTTGCACTCAAAAACATTTTTCACTTTTTCCATTTAAGGGAGCTAAATCTTTATTTTTTGGCAATAAGAAATAGACACAAATGGGTCGCAACTCATATAATGAAGTAATATGAATGTATATAGACTGATTTACTTTCAATCGAATCTGTTTTTACTGTAATCTCTAAATAGTTATGTTCGGCGAAATACACGAATACTCAAAATTGAATGGCAGTCTTTGGCGTCTGGTTATTCCAGTCTACACCTGTAGTATTCTCCTGTCGGATATGTTTAGACTTGTTCATCGAGTTGCTTCGTTACAAATGGCGCTCAAAAGCATTCTGGCGCGTGATTCATGTGCAAATTTGGTCTTAAATATTGGATATCGGAAGTCCATCTTTTCATGGTAAGACAACAACATCAATTTTGATTTAAATTGATCAATATGGCGTCGAAGACTGTGGATGATACTGAGATAGCAACTTCAGTTGACTTGCCTCCTTTAAATGGTTGAAATATTAAAATGTGTTACATATTTTATTTTAGGTACCCTGAATAGAATTATCCACAACAAGTTGGCATAGTTTTATAATTTAATAAACAATAGAAGATTGTCAGTTCATACCACATCAAATTTATCCCATGATCTATAATCATAACTACTAATACGCTTCGGCTTATCTTCCATCTTTCCTTCCACTGAATCTTCTTTTTTCTTCTTTTTTTTCTTCTTTTTACCTTGACTGTTTCTGACTGGTGGTAAATCCTAAAATTATGAAAATTAAATCAAATATATGCACATAAGAGAAAGAATATTTTATACAGTAGGCCTACAGTAACCTGCTGTAATTCATATTCTTCTTCTTCCGTTACAGGTAACGTAACAATTTTTACAATGCGAGAGAGAGAGAAATGGGGTTTAACGTCCACTCAACACAAACTAGGTCATTTCGGGACTAACATATGGTTTAATTTTATTTCAATGATTCGCTTGTGTGTAGGGGTCTTTAGCATTGGGAGGAAATGGAGGACCCAGAGAAAACCCACAAGGTTGGACAGGCATCCCTACTCCTTGTCACGTACAACCTGGGAATCAAAACCACGGCAGTTGACTCAATGACAGGCCTTATGATACAGCGTGCATGTGCTAACCATTCGGCCATCCAACCCCCCTTTTTACAAAGCAATAACCAATAACAGCTGAGTATTTGAAAAAAAACCTGACCAATATTTGAACTATCCGCAATTTTAATGTATTTCTTCCTTGCAGCACAATATGATGACACTAGACAATATATAATAAAAAAAAGAACAGGAATGCAATGCCTGTTGAGGCCTCGATTTTACCTGCTCTAGCTTCGGCTCGTTATTTTTTCAACAATTCGTAATTTCAGGCAATCAAACCTCTGTCGATTCACTCAGATATGTTTTTTCTTCAATCTAGCCGTTTTGATTTGCATAAATACTCCCCACAAAACGATATCATAGTCGCTTGTTTCCAATATATACATTATTTTCGTTCATTAACGCTTGCCATTGACTCCATGCGCTGTCGTCACAGAAAAACCTAACCAACCTCTGAAGATTTGTATCCTTCCGCCTCAAAATCATGAATATTCACCTGGCAGAAAATGCATATTAAAACCTTCTTCTTTGATTCTACAACCAAAAGTCAACAAAAATCGCGATGCAAAAGGGGAAAACGGAAAGGGAGAGAAAAACTAAAAATATCTTTGGCCCTTGTTTCAATGGTCTATTCACTGCAGATCGATTTTGTGTGACGTCAGCGCATGGAGTCAATGACAAGCGTTAACGAACGAAAATAATGTAAATATTGTCTAGTTGATTATGGTGTATGCATATATATACGGATGAAAGGTCTGATTCCTGTGGTATATCATAAATAGAACCACAGTTTTACCATACCATGGCCATGGAATTGATATAATACAAGCTTTTAAAAATAATATCTCAAAACCTCAGCTTTGCTTAGAGTACAACACACAAGAAAATGTTAACAGACATGTGGATGACAAATAACAATATGGCAAATAATATAATGTAAATTTACAAACAAAACAAATTATAATTTTAATCTAGTATGTAGCCTACTCTACTCTAGACTAGCTAAAAATTAATTTTTTGTGAATTGGGTAGAATCATAAATATGTTTTTTTTTAATCCAAAATACGTAATTAAAAAGTACCTGTCCATAAGTTGGTTTTTGATTTCGCAAACTCTCATCCTTTTTCTTGATGTCGTCTGTCCATTTGTCTAATTCTCCCAGGAAACTTGTCAGATCTACCTGATTTTCTCTCAATTGAGATTGCAAGTTGAACATTTTGTCTTCGTGTTTATTAGAGACTGGCATCTTTGATACTTTTCAGAAACAAATTAATGAAATGGGTCTGAAATGGTTGAAAGGCCTGACAGTGTCCTCAGCAAAAGTAAAAGTAATACAAAATAGACGTTTCTTGGTTATCTGATGTTGACAGGTTTCTACCTGTGGGCGCAGACATCTTGGGTGTGACGTCATTAATCTACGAAAGCCCGTTCAGAACACAACATTTTGGTAAATCACTCAAGGAACTGTACATAATAATATAAGGTACATGCAGTGGCGGCGCCAGACGTCGGTGATTGGAGGGGCAAAGCTGGGGCAAAGTCCAAGGTTAAGGGAGCAAAGGCACGAGCTTCAACTAGGGGTAGGGGTCCTTCCCCAGAAAATTTTGAAAAACAGCATTGCCATGCCGGAAATGCAGCCTGGCAGTATTTCAGGCACTGATCGATGAGGTAAAGTGTCAAACGAACGGACTTGCGAATCACGACGAAGCCCACTCACGAGCGTCAAAGTAGGGAGTCCTCCCCCAGAAAAATTTGAAAAATAGACTGCCGGAAATGCTGTCTTACAGTATTCTGTCAGGCACCGATCGTCGAGATAAATAGATCTGCCCCTATACCGTTCGTCGCCTGATCACTAGTTTATCCAACTAGAGAACAAAATGTCAAACGAACGGACTTGCGAACCTCAACGAATTCCCCTTGTGAGCGCCAAAGTAGCGAGTCCATTGGGGACCTCGCCAAGAAAATTTTGAAAAATAGACTGTCGGAAATGCTCTACAACATGCAAGTTTATGACTGATTGGGGATGTGGGATTTATTCACCGTAGAAGGTATTGATTACCGAAACGTATCACAAATACTTTTTTTTATTTTCTAAAATTATTGGGGAAACGTATCACAAATACTTTTTTTTATTTTCTAAAATTATTGGGGGCGCCGCCACTGAGTACATGTACAATGAAAACTCTGCAGTTGCTATTTTAAAATATTTCAGAAATTCAGAAAGACGAAATTGAAAAGGTCTATCAAAATACTGACATTTCTAACTGATAAATAAGTTATCAAAAATATCATTCTTTCCCCGCACTGATTGGTGTCGTATTCGGTCCCAACTATTAATTTTTAACGAAATAAGGATAGACCTATGTATTCATAGGATAGCAATATGTTTAACCCAACAAGTTAGATTTTATTTTTTTATATTCTGATGCCGAAATAATATGAGCCCAAATCTCACAACAAAAGCCGATAATCAGTTCCGGTTATCATATGCACTGCTATTGCTAACACATTAAGTCATAGACTGAATTGTTAGCGCGTGCGCGTTGTATCATAAGGTTTGTTATTGAGTCAACTGGCGTGGTTTCGATTCCCTGGTTGTACGTGACAAGGAGTAGGGTCGCCTGTTCAACCTCGTAGGTTTTCTCCGGGTTCTCCCACCGATAAAGACCCCTTCGCGCAAGCGAATTATTGGTTAAGATTGAACCATGTGTTAGTCCCGAAATGACCTAGTTGTGTCGAGTGAACGTTAAACATAATTTCTCTCTCTCTCTCACCACTGGTGTCACTGGGACTGTTCACATAATTATCGAACGTCGTAATGATTATTTTGCTTTTGCATGTGCTTTAGCATGTAAACTATGTATTGTTTAATGGTCGAGAGCGAGACATTAAGTAATATATTGTAACAACATGAGGGCCGTAGGCCCGAATGTTTTTACAATATATTACGCAATGTCGTAAGCTCGAGACCATTAAACATCTTAAAATACTGACACTTCGCAAAGCTTTTACGTCACACTAGTCCAATATCTCACTGGTATGAATAAAGTACTATTGGCAAGTTGCTCGTACGATTATTTGAAATAATGTTACGCCAACATCAAAGGGTGACGTCACATCTGTATTTTAAGTATTGTTTAATGGTCGAGAGCGAGACATTAAGTAATATATTGTAAAAACATGAGGGCCGTGAGGCCCGAATGTTTTTACAATATATTACGCAATGTCTTAAGCTCGAGACCATTAAGCAACTTAAAATACAGACACTTGCACGTGCTTTGCAATGAAATACGTCACTCGAGTTCAATATTTTACCAAGTTACGCTTGGAAAATTGCCCGTACGATTATTTGAAATAATGGTACTCAAACATCAAAGGGTGACGTCACATTTGTATTTTAAATATAGTTATAGCTGTTTGTTATGGCTTAGTGCATCTAAAAGGAAACAGTCTATGCTTAGTAGGCCTATAGATGAAGGTTGCACTGTATCGTTACTGAGGAGTTCAGTGATAATTTGTATTCAATTCATTCGTTATCTCTATTATTTATTTATCTTTGATCATTAAGAACGACGAATGTCTTACGTAACAAAGTGACGAAATTAACATGGTCAAATTAGTGACCCTGAACAACATCAGCAAATTTCAAGTCTCTATTATACGATCACAGGAAGTACTAGGTGTACGAAAGTGCATTAGCAATTAATTACATGTATGGTCTCATATATTAAAACTGTTAAAGAGACCACCAAGGTGCTATATTATGATCTCATGTATTAAAATTGTTAAAGAGACCATCGAGGTATACGACATGGTCTCATATATTAGAATTGCCAAAGAGACCATCGAATTATGTGACATGGTCTCATGCATTAAAACTGATAAAGAGACCATTAAACTTGGTGGTATTATAGGCCCTACCGTTGACCGTTTTTATGAAAAATCGGGGTCATTGAGCTACCGCGGGGAGTTATATTCGTAAAGAACAGCTGCTTAACAAAATGACGAAAATTGTTATTGTTATTTATGGTGTTCAGCAGGACATATTAGTGTCTTGGTATTTGAGTCTCAATAGTAAACATCATTCATGGCCGGATGATTATTACCTGTGTGTGGCTGAATCATTGAGAAGTAAAAGTTGTATAAAATCAAAAGTTTTTGACCGATTGGTCTGAAATTTGGTGTGAGATCATAGTTAACATCATGGCCGGATCATTAGCTGTGTGTGGCTGAATCAATGAGAAGCAAATTTCAAGTCTCTAGGACCACGGCAAGTACCAGGTGTACGACTACGAAAGTACATTCGCGCCATGAATTCTTTACTTATTTTGATGGCGTGTCTCATCTCAGCTCATGCAAGGAAAAATGTTCTTTTTCTTGTTTCGGATGATATGAGACCACAAATAGGGGCTTATGGGGGTCCAGATTTTCCTAGCCCTGTTCATCCTAAGATGTACACACCCAATATAGATGCATTGGCCAAGAAAAGTCTTTTGTTGAAGAAAGCTTTCGTACAACAAGCTCTGTGTAATCCCAGCAGGTCATCTTTGTTAACAAGCAGACGACCAGATACTACACATATTTACGATCTAATACATTACTTCAGAAAAGTTGGCGGTAATTTTACTACGATACCACAGTACTTTAAAGAGAATGGTTACATGACCGTTGGTATGGGTAAGATTTTCCATCCAGGAGAAGCAGCTTCGGATAACGATGATCCTATTTCATGGTCTGTTCCATATTTTCATGCCAAATCAGGTCCTTATGTTGAGTTAGAACACAGTTGGATGGCCATTCCGAGGTCGGAATATGAACAGAAACCGTTACCAGATATGATTTTAGCAGACAACGCAGTAAAGGTTTTACAAACTGTAGCACCAGCTGCAAAAAGCGGCCAACAACCATTTTTCGTTGCTGTTGGTTTTCATAAACCTCATTTACCATTTGTGTTCAGGGAAGAGTTTTTAGATTTATACCCAATGGATGATATTCGGTTGCCTGATAATGAATACGCACCTGTCAATATGCCGGATGTAGCTTGGTATGACTTTAGCGATTTGAGAAGTTTTGGTGACATTGCTAAACTTAACGCTTCTGGAGAAATTAACAACATTCGCGACATCTATAGTCAAAGATCTCCGGAGAGCGTATTACAGCGCCGTCTCATACACAGATTCTTTGATTGGGCAAGTGATGCAGGAATTAAATAATTTAGGACTTGCCAACAACACTATCGTGTCTTTCTGGGGAGATCATGGATGGGAGTTAGGAGAACATGGCGAATGGTGCAAAGAATCTAATTTTGAAAATGCTGTTCATGCTCCCATGATGATTCACATTCCAGAAGTAACGGATAATGGCATTATTACAGAGCAGTTGACGGAGTTTGTTGATTTATTCCCTACTTTAGTAGAAGCTGCTGGGTTGAAACCATTACCCCTGTGTCCTGAAGATTCAACTAAAACCATTCTATGCACGGAAGGGAAGAGTCTTATGCCCCTAGTTACCAACCCCAACATTCCCCTGAAGAAGGCGGCATTTTCACAATATCCAAGAACGGTAGGAAATCAGGCTGTTATGGGTTATACCGTACGTACACAGCAGTATCGATACACGGAATGGCCAGCATTTGATGAATCACCGATCTATAAACCGGACTGGAATAGATTATATGGTATTGAGTTGTACAACCATACAGATGACCCTGAAGAAAATTATAACCATGCTTATGATTTAGGATATGTAACATTAAGGGCCATGTTAAGTTCGCTTCTTCATAATGGTTGGCGCAAAAGTTAAGTCATAATTTCAAAAATGTTCTGTTCATCCTAAGTATCAGAACTGTAAATTTAATAAAGATAAGTCACATTTGGCTCTGGGGTTTTTTTTCAATTATGAATTCAACGGATATTTAACAGGTTTTCATTGCCTTCACTCTCTCATTTGCTTTGATATTATGATTACTTTATTACCAACAGAACGTACACAACCTTATGAAATAGAAGGGAGAAAACCACTCCTACAAGAGTATAGGTGGCATTATTTTCTGATTTAATGCGTTGAAGTATCTCAGTGGCGAATCCATGATTTCTGAAAGAGGGACTTGTGGGTCACAAAATTGGAAAGGGTCGTAGATTTTTTGAGGGATTAAATCTATGATTTTCAGTTACTGTCATTATCATGTTGAAAAGGAGGCTGCTTGAGCTTTTATTGTATGGGTAATCATAGAAGAGCTAACATATTGTACTTCAACAAAAATGATACTTTTTCAAGTAACATAACATCATCGATGAGACTAGTTCTTTTGGAATTTGCAGGTCGAATAATCGGGGGAGCCGAACTTTATTAGATCAATTTATATCCAGTTCGTCCATCCCTACCTCCTATATTCAATACAATCAACAAATTTATCAAATGA